GGGACCCAGCCCCCACAGGGTCTCTGTGAGTTGTTTCCCAGCATAACCACAGGTACCTCCTGTTGTTCTAAGCCTCGCCCATCCTGTTTCATAACATCCTGTTACGAAACTTTCTTGTTATTGAAACATTATGCCTTGTCCCCGTCCCCTTCTTACTTCATTGGCCGTGGGTGGGGTTGTGGTTTGCTTGTCTATGATGGGGCGTGGGAGTAAGTGCGTTCTTCTAGCAGGTGATGTTTTCCCATCTCCTCTTGTATATAAACTGTTGGCTGCACCAAACCGATGGCATTTGCTTCTACCGAATGACCCAAGTTGTGTCCTTCTTAATCTGCAGACTCTCGCCTGGTGCGGTTCTTTGGTCGCTGGCCCTGGCGCTGGCACCGGTGACAGTCCCCATTTGCCTCAGTTGCCCTAGTGCTGGGATTGAAAGCTTGTGCCTTCTTGCCTGCTATGGTGGTTTGAAAGAAAGTGGCCCCAAAGGGAGTGACACTATTAGGAGGTGAGGCCTTGTTGGAAGAAATGTGTCACTGTGGAGGCAGGCTTTGAGATCTCATATATACTCAAGTTACACTAATGAGACAGACTACTTCCTATTGCTTGCAAGATGAAGGACTCTCAGCCACTTTTCTGCAACATGTCTGCCTGCGTGCCACCATATCCCACCATGATGATATGTACTGAACCTCTGAAACTGTAAGGGAGCCACCCAGATTAAACATTTCCCGGTATAAGACTTGCTGTTGTCTTTTTTTGAGACAGGGTTTCTCTGTGGCTTTGGAGCCTATCCCGGAACTAGCTCTTGTAGACCAGGCTAGTCTCGAACTCACAGAGATCTGCCTGCCTTTGCCTCCGGAGTGCGGAGATTAAAGGTGTGCACCACCAACGCTGGGCTAAGACTTACTGTTGTTATGGTGTCTCTTTACAACAATAGAAATCCTAAAACACCAACTTTTGTTTTGTTCTGGACTTTCATGTATTTGAGATAGGATCTCACTTGGAGCCCTGGGTGGCTTGGAACTCATTAGGGCCTTGAACTCAGAGACCTTTCCTGTGTCTGCCTCTGTTGTGCTGGGATTAAAACCTTGAGCCACCACACCAGCTCAATCCCAGGGCCTTGCACAAGCTAAGCTTTAAGTTTAGTCAGGGAAATTGGTCAGATAATAGTCTCCCCTCCCTTCCTTCCGTCCGTTCTTTATTTTTTTTTTCCAAAAACAGGGTTTCTCTGTGTGGTCCTGGCTGTCCTAGAACTTGTTTTGTACACTGGCTGGCCTTAAATTCAGAGATCTGTCTCCCTCTGCCTCCCAAATTAAAGGTGAATGCCACCACACCTGGTTTAGATAATAGTTTTCTTGCCTTCACACTCTATAATTTTAATGAATTGCCCTATGTCTCCAGCTTAAGGAGTTTAAAATTGATGTCATTCCAATGAATTAAAAGGTATTTTTTTTTGTTCTTTAGATTTTCTTTTTCTTTCTTTCTTTTTTTTTTGGGGGGGGCGGTTCTCTGTGTAGCTTTGGAGACTATCCTGGCACTCTCTCTGAAGACCAGGCTGGCCTCGAACTCAGAGAGCAGCCGGCCTCTGCCTCCTGAGTGCTGGGATTAAAGGCGTATGCCACCAACGCCCGGCCTTGATTTATTTCTTTTATGTTGTATTGTAGTAGTGTTTTGCCTGCATGTATGTCTATGTACCACTTACATGCCTGGTACCTGAAGAGGTCAGAAGAGGTCATCAGATCCCTAAAAAACAATAGTACTGACAGCTGAGATATGCCATATGGGTGCTGGGAACCAACACAGGTCCCTCTGTAAGATCAGCAAATACTTTTTTTGTTTGTTTTTCGAGACAGGGTTTCTCTGTGTAGCTTTGGAGCCTATCCTGGCACTCGCTCTATAGACCTGGCTGGCCTTGAACTCACAGAGAGATCCTCCTGCCTCTGCCTCCCTAATGCTGGGATTAAAGGTATGCACCACCACTATCTGGCCCAGAAAATACTTCTGGGTAATTCAGATTATGGATTTAGTTTCTTTGTGTGTCCTTCACAGATAATACAATTGGATAAAGTCATTAGGGTGGAGCCTCATGGTTGCATTCCCACCATGGCTTTATAAGGAGAGGGAAGGAGGCACAGTGCTTTTCTAGTCTCTCCTATCTATTGACTCAGGACCAGCTCAGGACCAGAAGAGACTTCACCGCTGGATGCTTGACTCGTAGCTGCAAAACTGGTAAAATTAAGACTCTTTAATTTTTTTGTTTTGTTTGTTTGTTTTGGAGCCTGTCCTGGAATTCGCTCTGTAAACCTGGCTAGACTCGAACTCTGCCTGCCTCTGCCTCCCTTGTGCTGGGACAAAAGGCGTTCATCACCACCACCCATTGTGTTAACTTTTTTTTTTTTTATATATTGTTTTGCTTTTTTGAGGCAGGGTTTCTTTGTGTAGTGTTGGCTGTCCTGGAACTAACTCTAAACCAGGTTGGCCTCAAACTCATGGAGATCTACTTGCTTCTGCCTCCCAAGTGGCTTTTAACTTTTTGACATCATGTATAACTGTATCCGGCCTGGAACCAACTGGGTAGACTGCTGATGTTGCTGACTTGGCTTCCCAGGTATTGGGAAGACAGGCATATGCCACCAGACCTGCCAATGGCATTGCATTCCTAAAAACTAGGTGTATGGACATGAACAGGCTGCAAGAGGGCGAGTTTGAGATTTCTGTGGTTATTTCTCCCAGGCTGCAAGTGTAGTTGTTGTTCTGTACCATTGTCAGTTCAAATACAAAACCAGTGAAAAAAACAGAGAACATTTTGTAATCATTATTAAAATGTTCTTCGGAAACAGTCATGCTGTATACCTCAGGCTGGCCTGAAACTTGTCTAAGCCTCTGATATCCTGGGTGTTTTGGGAGTGCTACATCACACCTTTTTAATTTTTGTTTAAATTAAAGATAAAGAAGAAAAGAGGTGGGTGAGACATAAGACTAAGACACATTTAGACATATTAACCAGTTTATTATAGGCCCGGCAGATTAGGGAGACTAAGAGAAGAGAAACAGGGTTGATGGCTGACTGCCATGGCCAGTCGCCATAGAGAGGCACACACACAGAGAGAGAAGTAGAGAAAAGTGTAGAGAGAGCAAAGAGAGACAGAGCGTAAGTGGGCAGGGATCTGTCTTTTAAAGGAGTCCTCTGCACCTGAGTGCAGACTTAGTTCCCATGGAACCCTGGGCTGACCAGGGTACTGCCTGTTTAGTCTAGGGTCTACTGAAAAAGTCTTTAGGAAATTCCAGAGGTCCTGACATTGCATTCTAAGGATTTCTGGATGAGAGAGGCCAGTCTGGGCTGTGTTAGACCTTGTCTCAAAAAACAAAAACAAGTAAGTACAAATTCAAGTGCTATGAGAAGAGAGATTGGTAGAATTTATTGTGTCTGGAAATAAGATTTAATTTTGAGAAAGGGGTTTTAGGTATAGCCTGGGGGTGACCACGGATTGGATTTCCTATCCTCCTGTCTCAGCCTCCTAAATACTGGGATTACAAAGTGAGATCACCATACCTGCGTTGAGGATAAGATTTTAAATGAACTTTAAAGAATTGGCACAGTTGGAAGAGGCTGGGAAGAAAAAGTTTATTCAAAGGTAAAATCCCTAGCCACTGTATCTTCTTCACTATAGGAAAGGCAATTAAATAACAAAAGACAGGGGCTGGAGAGATAGCTTAGCAATTGGGAGGTCCTGAGTTCAATTCCCAGAAATTACAAGGTGACTCACAACCTTCAGTAATGAGATCTGGTGCCTTCTTCTGACCTGCAGGCATATATGCAAACAGAACACTGTATACATAATAAATAAATCTTTAAAAAAATAACAAAGGTGAGTATCCCTCATTCAAATTTGTATTTCTTTTCTTTCTTTTCTTTTTTTTTTTCTTTTCTTTTTTTTTTTTTTGAGACAGGGTTTTCTGATCCTTCCTCTACCTCCCCCTGCCTCCTGAGTGCTGGGATTAAAGGCGTGCACCACCAACGCCCGGCATCATTTAGATTCTTGTAGTATCTAAAGCTTGTATTTCAAAGAAGTTTAGCTATATTTAGCTCAGCCAGGCGTTGGTGGCTCACGCCTTTAATCCTTTGCAAGACTGAGGCAGGCGGCTCTCTACAGAGCAAGTTCTAGGACAGGCTCCAAAACAATACAGAGAAACCCTGTTTCCAACAACAACAACAACAAAAAGGAGAAAAGTAAATATTTACGTCTTTGAATTTGTCCGAGGGTAAAAACAACAGCTAGAGCTGGGTGTAGTAGCATACACTTTTAATCCCAACACTCCAGAGGCAGAGGCTGGCGGATCTCTGAGTTTGAGTCCAGCTTGGTTTACAGAGTGAGTTCCAGTACAAGCTCCAAAGTTACATAGAGAAACCCTAGGCAGGAGTGGTGGCTTAATGGCGAGGTTGAGATGGAAGATTGCTAGTTCAATGCCAGCTCAAGCTGTAAAAGGAGTGCCAGGCCTGCAAGAGTCACCTAGCTAGATCCAGTCTCAAAAACCACAAAACCACATACAAATAAAACAAAGAGAAACCCTCTCCCTGTTGTAATTTGGATATCAATAGTCCCCAAATTTGGTGGGTACTGCACCCATTGAGCTCAGGGAACTGCGATGGCCTCATTGACAAGTATGCAGGGCGATGAATTACTTTGACAATTGATTGCAAGGGCTTCGCGATTCTCGAAGCGTGGCTCCCTGCGCTTGCCGTAACCTGGACTGGACCATTGCATCCTGCGGGTGTGTGAGTGCAAGAGGCTGGGAGAGCAGAGCGGAGGGCGTGTGTCGGGCAAAGCCCGGAGCCCTGGAGGACGACTGGCTCCCCGATCCAGCCACCTGTCCGTCCTACTCCCCTGACCCCGTCCTGTCCCGCGGCAGCGGCCTTGTCTGTACGGCTCCCTCGGGAGCAGGTGAGTGGCGGCGCCTTGCTCCGGGCACCCCCGTGGCCCCGGGGCGGTGGCGGTGGCCGGCCGGGGAGGCGGCCTCGGCGCACAGTAATGGCAGCGCTGTGAGCCGGGGCACGCGAGCTGACAGCCGCCGCCGCCCACCCTCAGAGCCGGGGGCTTCGTCCTTCACGCCTGCGGGTTGCCTCCCTCCCCGGGCCCCTGCCCCTGCCCTCGCCCTGCTTCCGCAGAAGGTAACCCCGCTGAGAGCTGGGGAGCCCGGCTGTGGGCGCAGGGAAACTTCCCTTCCCGGCGAATGGGTGGCGGGGATGGGGCGGAGGAACGGAGTTAGGGGCGACCTGGCGGAGGGGAGCGGGCTGAGAGCTGGAGGCCCGGCAAGATGGTGTCCTGTGAGTGACCTCGGTCCCTCGACTGCTGACCCTTAAGCCAGGCAACCCTTGGATCGGATCCCGGGCCTCCCCGATCCGCTGCCGGCCGCCCCTCCCTCGGCCTCATTTTCCTCCTAAGGAGGGAAGGTGAAAGTGTGCTCTCCCGCTTATTTACGTGAGCACACGGAGACCACAGTCTCTGTGGAAGGGGGTGGCATCAATCTCATAGATCCTAGCCACGAGTATTTTCACTTTTGTTTCCGCAGATAGTGAAGATTGATAGCTTTGGGGAGGAGTAGTCTACGTGCATGCTGCACCTCCTGCCTCAACACTCATGGGCTGGTGAAATAAGAGCCTCAGACTCTCTCCAGCACTTGTTTTTGTACTAGAGTCTAGACCCTTCCCTACCATTACGGTGCATGCAAGTAGAACATCTTTGAATTTCTATTGTTATTATAAGTTACCCCATGTCCTCCTTGGTTACTATTACTGGCTGGATGGTAGTGCCCTCTTAAGTTTCTATTTGAAGATAAGTTGGAGATATAGCTCAATGCTTCAGCATTTGTCTGGCATGCAAGAAGCCCTGGGTTCAACTCCAGCACCGCCTTCTGGAAAAAATTCCTGGTGTGTGTGTGTGTGTGTGTGTGTGTGTGTGTGTGTGTGTGTGTGTGTTTCCTTACTGATTTCAATAGAAAAGATACTTGCCCCAGAACTTATCTCAAACCCACATTCAAATACAGTATGAGAGATCACTTTATTCTCTTTCATCACGTGTCATTCCACGACATAAAAGTGATTTGATTAGCTGACCTTTGGCTCTTAATGCCTATATACAGTATTTGGAAGTCCCTTCCCAAAGAGTCACAAATGAATTTTAAGAATAGTGCACAGTTTTGTTTTAATTACTTTCCCTTCCCTCATGTTATTTATGAGTTGTGGGACTGTTTTGGTGATTTGGGGGGGGGTGTTGTTTTTTGTTTTCTTAATTGCTTTGTTTTTTTGAGACAGAGTCTCTCTATAATGTAGCCCCAGCTGTATGGGACTCACTGTGTAGATCAGAGTGACCTTACTGCCTCTGCAGTGCTGGGATTAAAAACATGTGCTATCACACCCAATTGTCTTTTGAGGGTTTTGTTGTATAGCCCTGACTGGTCTGGAACTCACTGTATAGCTCAGCTAACCTCACATTCCCGGAAATCCTACCTCACCAGACCCTGCTTTCTTTTACCAGGGTGTGAATGTGTAAGATTGTGTACCCATGTCTTTTCAACTTTCACCCTCAGTAATTGAGCCCCAAGTGTATGAACCTTTAAAGTTAGTTTTCCAGTGGGAAGAGCTGGTCCCTTTGCTAAGCTGCTTTTCAGGAATTAGGGATATGACTCTGAACTCTGCTTTCTTCAGAGTTCTGCCTGAGATGGAGAGACATAGTAGATAAACAAATAGGATATTGCTCCGAAGGAAAATAAGGAATTGTAGTAATTGGGAAAAGTTGTTTCAGATTGTATGTTAGGAAAGGCCTGTCTGAGGTGACATTTGACATATTTGATAAAACAGAAACTTTCTGAAGAAATGCAAATGGAAAAGCCCCAAGGTGGAGTGAAATTAGAAGTTCAATGAAGGTAGACCCTGTAAGAGAGGTTGAGCTAGAGTTTGGTTTTTAAAACATTTTAAGTTTTGGGAGTTTTATGTTCTATAGGTTGGAGAGTAGATGTCAAAAGTCACCCCCACCCAGGGTCAGAGTTGTATTCTTGGACCACTAAAAGACAAGTAACAAGGTTTCCAGCTATGTTGAAGGTACTTGTTGAACCTGTAATAGTTTGGATAAGAGTGTAGTTGGAGCCCGTTGGCGTTGATGGTGCACGCCTTTAATCCCAGCACTCGAGGTAGAGGCAGGCAGATCTCTGTGAGTTCGAGGCCAGCCTGGTCTCCAGAGCTAGTGCCAGGATAGGCAACAAAGCTAAACTGAAACCCTGTCTCGTAAAACCAAAAAAAAAAAAAAAAAAAAAAAAAAAAAAAAAAAACAGAAAGAAAGAAGAAAAGAGTGAAGTTGGAGATAGGTGTCTCTTGGGTTTTAGAGCTCTATTGGATGAGGGGTACCATCTACAGGGATGGGGAGAGAAACGTGAGTTTATATAAAATGGGTTTGTATTGGATGTCTTGAGTTGAGTCAGTTAGACAATTGTAAAATTTAGTTAGAAAGTTAAGCAGTCATACAGTTCATTCATTGATTTGAGGAGTGTTTTATGGACCCATCAACTGGGATAATGAGAGATAAGACAGATCTCTGCCTTCATGAAACATGGGGAAAGATGGGTAGAGTTTATCAGTCTTTAACTGGTGGTCCATTGAATAATACTTAGATTCAAAATTGGAAATGTTCAGTAGGGCATAAAATTAAAACCCTCTTGTTTCCCTACAGCCAAACAATGTTAACTTTCTTACATGTTTCCAAAGATATGTTTTTCAGCCTTTAAGCAGGTGCAAAAAAAAAAAAAAAAAGCACACCTTACTCTGACACTTTGTATTTTTGAGAGCACTAAATAGTACTTTAAAAGTTACAAACAGGTTAAGGACACCTAAAGAAAGCCTAATAGGAAATGGAGAAAACTGCAGGGAACTGCACCATTTTCTGATCTGCTCTCTGCCATAGTTGAGTGTTTGACTTACAGATAGGAATTCTGGGGCAAGTGTGTGCTTACTTAACCCAGGCCTGCCACATATGCATTGTAGCCCAGGCTGGTCTTTACTCTTTGGTATTTCCTGTGTCAGGTCCTTTCCAGAAGTACAGGGATTACTAGTGTGTTCAAATTGCTGGCTCAGATGTTTGTTCTATATGTTCTTTGAAGAACATTACTTAACGTACAAGAAATTTGTACTTTTCTACCTGCCTGCCATTTTTTCAAATGTGCCAGAAAATGTTTGGTATTGATTAAAGGGAACATTTTCTTAATGTGTAATGCCTGCTACAAGTAAGTTCATCACAGGATCAGCACCTGGAGCTAAATATTAGAAAGACTTAAAGCTGATAATATAAAAATTAGGAAAATGCCAGGCCTGGGGGTGTGTGGGGGGCGGGGGTGGCAGGGGAGCTGGACTCAGGCCTCTGCTTCATCCCAGCCACTGAGTGAAGTAGGGGACATATTCAGGACCTGCCCAGGGTACAAAATAAATTCAAGGTCAAATTTGAATTTAGCAGACCCTGTTTTAAAATAAAAATTAAACCAAATGATGTTAGTGCACACCTTTAATCCCAGCACGTGGGTGGCAGAGGCAAGCGGTTCTCTGTCATTTCAAGGCCAGCCTGGTCTACAGATGGAGTTCCAGGATAGCCAAAGCTACACAGAGAGACCCCCATCTTGAAAAAGCCAAATAAGTAAATATGGTAAAAATGGACTGGGATATCATCATTGCTAAAGTGATTGTTTATCATGCATGAGGCCCTGGGTTCAAGCCCTAGTACCAGAAAAAAGCAAGGAAAGATAAAAGCAGAAGTTTGGAATGTCGGAAGTTGAGAATTGATTCAGTGTGTAGACCTGTTGAGTCATTAGCATCAGAAAAAGAAAGGGAATTGCACTGTAGGTGTTAACATTTGTTTGCTGTTTGAGGATGCCTGCCTGCCTGCCTGCCTGCCTGCCTGCCTGCCTGCCTTCCTTCCTTCCTTCCTTCCTTCCTTCCTTCCTTCCTTCCTTCCTTCCTTCCTTTTTTTTCCAGGCAAGGTCTCACCATGTTGCCCTGGCTGGCTTGGAAGTCTTTACCTGTCTCAGCATGCCTGTGTGCCACCACACCCGGGCCTGAATTCATTTTTATCAATCAGATGACCTGGTCAGAGTGATCTGCATATATTTAAATCTTAGTCATATATCATGTTAAGTTACAGAAGTTAGCATAATTTTTGTTGGTTTTTTTTTTTTTTTTTTTTTTTTCCGAGACAGGGTTACTCTGTAGGTTTGGAGACTGTCCTAGAACTCTCTTTATAGACCAGGCTGGCCTTGAAGTCACAGGGATCCTCCTGCCTCTGCCTCCCGAATGCTGGGATTAAAGGTGTGCACCACCACTGCCCAGTAGTTAGCATAATTCTTGTGTTGCTATATTTTTGAACCATCCAGGCTGGAGTTGTGGTTGGTAGAAGACCTGGTTTAGATCCTAACACTGCTGGGCAGGCCTGTCTGTAATCCCTATAAGCACTGGGAAGATGGAGGCCAGATGTGAATTAAAGGGCCTGAGCTACCTTACCTAAGACCTTATCTCAAAAAAAAAAAAAAAAAAAAAAAAAGCATTAGATTCGTGCTGCATCACTACTCATATTTAGCTTTTAATTGGGACAGATTTATTGGGATATTAGAATATTATGAGTCTTAAAGTCTTAGGACAGTTACCACTGCTGAGGTTGTTGCTTATTTTTTGAGGCAGGGTTTCTCTGCATAGTCCTGACTCTCCTGGCTGGCCTCAAACTTAGAGATCTGCCTGCCTCTTCCAGCTGAGTCTTTGGATGAATGACCATGCCTACTTAAAATTCCTTAAAAAAAAAAAGAGAGAGAGAGAGAGAGAGAGAGAGAGAGAGAGAGAGAGAGAGAGACTGGGTTTCTTCTGGCACAACCTGATCTGTTGGAGAGTAACCTTGAACACTCCCCCAACCCTCACTGCCCCCCAACCCCTACCTCCACCTCTGAAGTGCGATATCCGAGCCTGCTGCCACACCCTGCCTGTTTCTGGTTGTGTTTAGGTCTGCTGGAATGTTGTTTACAACTTTGAATTCTGCCTGCTGAATATTTTAGAGAGGAGATAAAGGTTTTCTTTCAGTTGCTTTATTTTAATTTGAGACCTGGTTTTGTGCACACCTAGGCTTGCCTAGAATTCATTATATACACTTGCCTGGCCTCACACTCCAGACCCTCCTTGCCTCAGCCTCTATAGTGGCTGGGTTTTAGGTGTGTGCAACTAGACGCTTGCAAGGTTTTATTATTTTGAAGAATTAATCCAGACTCTTCTCTGTATTGCATTTATTCTTTATTTTATTTTTAACTTTCAGTTAGCTGTCTTAGATATTTCTGTACAAAATTGATCTAATTTTTGAGACTGCTAGATCTCTCCACTCCCTCCCCCACAGTCCTGTGTAGTTTAAGTTGGCCTCAAACTCAGCCTTCTGAATGGTTTTATGACCCATGGTTTCCTACATGCTAGGCCAGTGCTCTTACCAACCAAGCTTCACTCCATTCCAAGATGGTCCTTGATTAAAAACTATTTGGTTCACGTGAACTTTTTGTTGTTACTGCTGTTATCTTTGCCACTTTTTGTTTTATGCAGTCAGTTTCTAGGTCAGAGAAACATAATCTTGTGTGGTAGTATTATTTGAAGCATTAGATACCAGTGACTATATAAGATAAGATAGATACTAAATATGTTGTGTGTTTTATGCTTCATAGATTTGTTAACATTATTTCTCTAATCTGCTATAAACATAAGCTTAGCAACATCTCTAGCATCCTTTGGAAGTCTGGAATACAGTAAATATTTAATAAGTGTCTATTAACTCCGTAAAATCTAACAGAAGTTTTTTTTTTTTTTTAAAAGAAAAACTGGGCATGTGGTGTTGAGTACTTGATAAGGCCTGATCTGTGAATGAAGCAGAAGATTGCACTCCATTATTTTTGGCATTATCAATTTAATGTAAGTTGCTTTTCAAGAAAGGAAATGCTCAAGTTACCATATTTATATATTTTGTTTGTAAGAAGGTATTATAGGATACTTTAAAAAAATTTTATTTATTATGTATACAACATTCTGCTACCATGTATATCTGCACACCAGAAGAGGGCACCAAATCTCATAACAAATGGTTGTGAGCCACCATGTGGTTGCGGGGAATTGAACTCAGGACCTCTGGAAGAGCGGTCGGTGCTCTTAACCTCTGAGCCATCTCTCCAGCCCAATACTGTTTTTTTTTTTTTAAATTGGAATAATTATAGATATACAGAAAACTTAAAGACTCAAGTATTCTCATTAACCAGCATTTCCTATTATCTAACTGAAAAGTTTCTGCACCTCGACAAGCATCTCCACCTATGCAGAAATCCAAATCAAACCAAATCAAACCAAATTAGAAAAAAAGCCCACGTTTAATGAATACAAATGCTCATGGATGGCCTTCTAGCCACCAGACAGGAGATGGGAAAAACTGGGAAACCAGTCTGTTCTCTGGGGGACAGTTTAAATACCTTGTGAGAGTGGTCTTGAGCATCGTTGAGGGAGGGGTAGTCATTTGGCGGGCTTTCTGTGATGCATCAGGGTTTGGAGAGAGATAGGGGAGGGGCCTTGGGTGGAACTTCCATCATAACACTAACAATTTGCCTGACCTAGGTCCAAAACTTAGTGTGATAAAGCCTCTAATTTCTGCTCTAGGAGTTAAGATAGGAGAATCTCTCAGTTCAAGGCCATCCAGGGCCCCTTGGCTAAACTCTGTATCTGTCTGAACACCCCCACCCCCAAACACACACACCCAAGAAGTTAGGACTGGGGATGTTGCTCAGTGATACAGTATTTGCTACCTCTGTGGATTTCTGAATTTGATCCCTCATACTGTAATGACCAGGAGATAACATTGGTACAATACTAGTAAATATGTTTCCTCTGATGCCCTTACTCAAGATCCCATCTAAGATCAAGCATTACATTTGGTTGAGTCTTCTCAATCAGTTTTTTTATTTTTTGACCTTCCAATAAATGCAGTCAGTTATTTTGCAGAATCTTTTCCAATTCGAGTTTGGAAGTCGAGTTTTCTGTCTATATGGAGGATGTGTCTTTACTTGGGGGCAGGGGCACAGGGCTCAGAAAAAGTCTTGATCTCATTGTATCCCCTGACCTAGAATTTCAGGCAGTTGTGAACCACTCAACTTCAAAGCTGGGAACTGAACTCAGGTCTTACTCCTTTTTGTGTGATTTACTTATTTTTATTTTATGTGTGTGAATGTTTTGCCTGCATGCATATATGACTGTTGGGTCCCTTGTAACTGGGGTTACAGATGGTTGTGAGCCACCCTGTAGGTGCTGAGAATTGAACTCAGGTCTTTTGCAAGAGGAACATGGGTCTCAAATGTTAAGCCACATCTCTAGATCCAGTAAAATCTTATATAGGAAATATAGACATAAAATATGAGAAAAAGTTAAAGGCATATTGATTTCAGCTGTAGTACAGTTTTTGTCTTTTTGTCAGGGGTTGGGGAGGTTGGTGTGGGGGGTGTTCCAAGGCAGGGTTTTGGAGGCTGTCCTGGAACTAGCTGGTTTCGAGCTTAAAACCCCCATGCTCTCCCTCTACTAAGGATGGCACCAAGGACGTCAGGCTTGGTAGAGACTTACTTTGCTGCAAGCTACTTTTATCTAGTCAGATTTCTTTGCATAACCTTCCATGTTGGATTGCCTTATTATTATTATTATTATTATTATTATTATTATTATTATTATTATTATTATTATTGGAAAATTTCAGGATTCATTATTTTCAAGACAAGGTCTCACTGTGTAGCTCTGGCTGTCCTGGAACTTACTGTTTAGACCAGGCCTAGAACTCATGAAGATCTGCCTGCCTCCATCTCTCAGGTGCTGGACTTAAAGGAGTGTGCCACTATACCTAACACTTTTTTTTGAGGGGGGGAGTTTCGAGACAGGGTTTCTCTGTATTGCTTTGGAGGTTGTCCTAGAACTCACTCTGTAGACTAGGCTGACCTCAAACTCACAAAGATCCACCTGCCTCTGCCTCCCGAGTGCTAGGATTAAAGGGGTGAGCCACCAATGCCCAGCTAACACTATTTTTTTATGCCTCCTCCTGTGGGGAGGCATCAGATCCCCTGGAGCTGAAATTTTAGGTGGTTGTGAGCTGCCTGACTTGGGTGCTGGGAACTGAACTCCAGTCCTAGAAGAGCTGCAAATGGTAAACCATTTCTCTAGCACCTTCCTCCCCTGATTTGTGTGAGGGAGAGCCTCATTATGTAGCCCAGGCTAGATTCAAACTTACCATCCTCTTTATCCTCTGATTCTGGGATTACAGGCAGACTCTAACAGGAAGTTTTGTTTTTAAGATTTATAAGTTATGTGAGTATTGTGTATATTCCTGGTGCTCGCAGAGGCCAGAAGAGGGGGTGATAGATTCTCTGAAACTGGAGCAATGGATGTTGTGAATTTCTCTGTGGGTTCTGAGGACTAAAATTAGGTCCTGCAAAAGCAACAAGTGTTCTTAACTACTAACTAGAACAAGGGAGACATGTTCCAGAACTGTCTACTACGTAATGTGCTGATGGACTCTTTCCCCACCTAACCATAGTAAATGGCTTAAACATGGTTGCTAAGACTTTCATAATCCACTTAATGTATGAAAGCTTTTTTTTTTTTTTTTTTTTTTGGTTTTTGAGACAGGGTTTCTCTGTGGCTTTGGAGGCTGTCCTGGAACTAGCTCTTGCAGACCAGGCTGGTCTCGAACTCACAGATCCTCCTGTCTCTACCTCGAGAGTGCTGGGATTAAAGGCGTGCGCCACCAACGCCCGGCTTAATTATGAAAGCTTTATTGAATTATATTACTAATTCAGTGGCTTGTAGCATTTTTGTTGTTGATTTTTCAAGATAGGGTTTCTCTATGTAGCCCTGGCTATTCTGGAACTTACTCTGTAGACCAGGCTGTCCTAAAACTCAGAGATTGACCTGCCTCTGTCTCCAGAGTACTGGGATTAAAGGTGTATGCCACCACCACAGCTTCGATCTACTTTTGTATATTGTTATTCATCATGTATATTTTAAATAGTGGTATAAATGGAAATTTAATGTAAAAGTGTTATCAAATGTAATATAAAGTTTTCTTTATGATTAGGTTTTTTTAATATTAGCAATAATTAAATATCTTTGTAGCTTTTTTTTTTTTTTTTTTTGAGGGTGGTGCTATGTGACCAAGGCTGGCTTAGAACTCACAATGCTCCTTTTTACCTTCCTCAGTGCTGTGATTATAGATGTGCCACAGGCATATGTTTTTTTTTTGTTTTTGTTTTTTTTTTTTAAGATTTTATTTATTTATTATGTATACAGTCTTCTGTTTGCATGCCAGCAGAGGGCACCAGATCTCACCCAAGGTGGTTGTGAGCCACCATGTGGTTGCCTGGAATTGAACTCAGTACCTCTGGAAGAACAGTCACTGCTCTTAACCTCTGAGCCATCTCTCCAGCCCGCCACAGGCATATGTTATCACACCTAACTTAATTTGGAAATATTTGGAGTCTATGGTTTTATTTTTTAAGATGAATCTCACACTGTACCTAAGGCTGGCTTGAAACTCATGTAGCCTAGACTGTCTATATTGTCTCAGCCTCTGGATTACATACAGGCATGTGCTACCACATCTGGGTCTGGAGGTTTTTTAAGGGCCCATGGTGCCCTCAACCACCTCACCAAATCAAGAATGAAATTCAGAAGAAAGCTAAAAAATTGATTTTTTGTAGGCATTCAGTGGGACACAATCTGATTGAGAATGAGAAATGTATTGTGGTCCCTATTAAAGAACAAAAATGGAGAATTCACACAGACGTGTATTTAAATTGTGTTTCAGCCAGTGATGGATTGATATGCAATGATGGTCCCTTGGAGATTATATTGCCCCGTGACATCATAGCCTTCTTAGTTTGTGTGAGTATGCCCTATGATGTTCACACTGTAGAATAGTCTAATAAATATTTTGCAATATATCCCTGTTAAGTGATGCATGATGGTGTATCTTTGGAGATTGAGCCCAGGGCCTTTCACATGCTAGGAAAGTACACAGCCCATATTTATATAAGCTTTTCAGTAGCCTAGGAGGCCACAAATAGTATTGTGGTTGTGATTCTGATCTGTTTTTTTGCCCTGTCTCTCCATCCTTGTGTAAGTTTTCCATGAATAAGTTATTTAAAGGGTTTGGAGAAAATGAAGCAACTTAAAAAGGTGTCCTTTGAGGTTTTTAGAAGATAAACAGATTGTTTTTACATTTTCTATATTGATTTAATGTTTGGTGTTTCACTAGGTTGGTGAAAACAGTGGTAGTTCTCTTGCTTTTGCTTCTAGAACTGTGTCCCCTCTAAGCATGGATTATCACTTTATCACTACTACCTATTCTGAGCCTTCCTCTTAGCAGGGAAAGCTCAGTCTGATTCTGTAAAGATAAATGCGGACTGCAGCCATTAAAATTACACATTAAGAATAATTTACATACCAAGAAAGTTTTTGTTGTTTTTAATGAAGCAGAGTTGGAAATTTTATTAAAAGCATTTTTAAAAGAAAGAGGTGATGAGAAGAAAATAGGACACTCAGTTGTGAGTCTAGACTCAAGGTTTCTTAAAAGCAATTGGACATTGTTCCAGCTGTATTTCATAGGAGTCTGGTGAATGTGTGTAGAAGGGAGTATTAAGAAAAAGAGCATTTTAGGTAGAGAATCAGGAAGGATAAAGGCAGGATTTATGAGCCCAGTTAGTGAGTCAGTCAAGTGACCTCTAAGCAGAGACGTGACTGGATTACTGTGTCAAGAGAGAGCTCCTGCCAGAGGAAGCTGTAAAGCTGCCTTATCTAGGGCCTTTTCATGGAAGCTTGGAGTATTATGTTGTAAACTAGTCTGAACTGTGCTTCCTGTAGTGGGACACGGCAGGGAATGATGAGGTCTGGGAGTGAATCGGTCAACTTTTCACTTAGATTATTTTATCTTCGATTAGAGCAAGATCTGAAATTCTTTTAAAAAGAACTTGGTGTGTGCACATCCAAGTGCTGTTGCTCCCAGGGTCTAGAAGAGTGCCTTGGATCCCCAGCACTAGACAGGTTGTTGTAACCTGCATGTGGTGAGGGGAGCTGAACTTCTAAACTAACTCTCTCCATCCCCCAAAATCTGAAATTTTGGACTTAGCTGTTTTTGTTGTCATCATCATTTTGATGCCTTAATCATGGTTGGTAGGCACACTTCCACTGAACTTTGGCCCCAGCCCAGAGATTGGGTTTTTACAGGTACATCCACAGAACCCAGAATGGTGAATTGGGAAGGGTAGGTATTCTCTAAAATTGGGAATAACACCATTTAAGAGCTGAAAGAAAGAACCTAACCCAGGCGTTGCCTCCTGATGCCACCTGATCTTTCTCAATCTTCCTGTGACACTTACCCAGAAGGTGGCAAGAGCAGTGGGATCTACTTGGTTTATTGGTAGGATTAAAGGAATATGGTACTTTATGTCTGTAATCCTTGCAAATAGACTGAGGCAATAGGAGTTTGACTCTAGCTTGGGCTACAGAATGAGACCCTGTAGAGTTAGAGACTAGAGTTAGGCTGGTGTGGGACTCCTACAGGCACTATACAGATGTCAACAAGTGTTTATGTTGAGGGCTAGAGGCTGCAGCATTTGTACATAAAGGTGGAGAGGATCAGAAAACACCAAGATCATTGCAGTTGTCTAGGGTGTTGTCTTAGTTACCTTTCTTGATGAAATGCCTTCACAAAAGTACTGTAAGCATGTGACACAGACCATGATAGCTGGAAAGTCATGGTGGCAGGGCCTTGAGGCAGGTTGTCACATTGTGTCCAGTCAAGACGAGAACTAGGAATGTTTGTGCTAGTTCACTTTCTCAAGTGTGTGTGTGTGTGTGTGTGTGTGTGTGTGTGTGTGTGTGTGTGTGTGTAAGGGGACATGTGGAGGTCAGGGTAATCTGTGAGCATTGATTCCTGGGTCTTAAAAGTTCATGTGAAGTTTGCATTCTACTCTAAAACTCCTTCCTGCTTATTTTTTTTTATCTTTAAAATTTTTATGTTTGCCTGAATTACATGTATGCATACCACATGCATGCCTGCTGCCCATGAATACCAGAAGAGTGTATCGAATCCCTTTGAAGTGTAGTTATATGGTTGTGAACAGCCATATAGGTACTGGGAACCAGCGTTCTCTGTAAGAGGAGCCAGAGTTCTTAACTGCTGAGCCATCTCTCCAGCTCCTCCTGTTTGTTTATACAAATGTAAATGATCTTTTTCTAGAATATATGTTCTAGGAAGATAAAACCTTTCACTGTTTATTTTATATTCCCTTGTGTATTAATCATTCTCCAGATGAAGGATACTGAATTTGTGGTCAAAAATTTTTTATGATAGTCAGTCTTGTTTACCTAATTTTTTCTGCAGATACTAAATGAGGCTTATCAATCTTTCAAACCACATACTGCTCATAAACAATTTGATTATGAAATGGTGGTAGCTAACATTTATTGTGTTTCTGAGTTCATTGTATTTCTACTCATTTTACATATTGTGCAGTTCAATTATATGGGACTTTAAGTATTTTTATTATTTTTAATTGTGTGTATGTGTGTGAATATGTATACATGTGCAGGTGTCTGTGGATACCAGAGGCATGGGATCCCCCTGGAACTGGAGTTGCATGGAGTGTGAGCTATCTGTTGTGGGTGCTGGGAATTCAGCACTGGTCCTCCACAAGAGTAGTACATGCTCTTAACCTCCGAACCACCTCCCCAGCTCAGATTACATGGTATTTTAAAAATATAACCACTCTTGTGGGATTCGTGCTAACATGATTTTTGTTTTTAATTAACAGGTTTCAACACTAAGCTTGCACAATGTCTTTAAAACCAAGAGTAGTGGATTTTGATGAGACATGGAACAAACTTCTAACTACAGTCAAAGCTGTTGTTATGTTGGAGTATGTTGAGAGAGCAACGTGGAACGACAGATTCTCGTATCCTTTAGTAGAAGACACAAGAAACACTAAATGAGAGCTTGTTAAATGAAAACAGGTTTAGAATCTTAGGTGTAACTCTTTGGGATATATTTATGTTAATTTGTGGCAGTCAGTTTTTCACAACCTTCCATTTGACAAATCCTGAGTGTGTCTGGCACTACTGTCGTCTTTGGGGGAGTGTAGCAAACAAACCAAACTATAGACAATAAACAAAATCTTTAATACAGGGTCTCACTCCAGCCCACATTTCAAATTCAAAGGGGTCTCGGAAGTACTGTTATTTTAGATGTAAGCCACCAAGCCTGGCTTTAACAACAACAAAAATCTGGTGTCAGCACTTCTAGTAAGAAGATTTAATAGCTATTGTCAAAAAACAGAGCAGGGTAAACAGCCATCTTTTCTGTCCCCCCATACTGTGTTCTTTTAACCAAGTAATTTAGTTTATAAGGTAACATGTGTGTATAGGTTATTTAACTGTGTTTGTGTCATGATTCATACCCAGGGAGACCAGAAAAGGATATCAGCTGCTGGAGTTAATAGAGGGTTGTGAACTATCATGTGGATGCTTGGAACTGAACTCAGATCCTCCAACAGCAGCAGCAAATGTCTCCAGCCCTTTCTGTGTTGGCATGTTTTCCTGGTGTTTGTATTTAAAGTATAAATGCATGATTCCACCCTAAATAGCCCTGTATTTTCAGTTTGTTTTTGCAACTTTGGTCTTGATGGTTTGCACCTGTATTCCCAGCACTAGGCGGGGTAGATGCAGGAGTTCAGGATTACAGGAAACCATAACACCCAGCTTGATGTTTCCTTTTTTGATGCTAAACATAAGTATTGTGTTTTAACTATGGGAACCTTAATAATCTATCTAGAGATATATACGCTCTATGCGTAGCCTATCCCGAACCACTTGGAGAAAGACTTTATGCGGAAACAAAGACTTTTTTGGAAAAACACGTTGAGCATTTGCACAGGGTAAGTAAGGGATAGTATAGTGCTACACATGCATACAGCTGCAGAGTTATTTGACTAGCTCACTGATTTCCAGAGGTAAACATCCATCAAATTAGGGATTTTTGATTTTTTTAAAAAAATTTTTATTATAAAAAATGATACAAATTTAAATGAATATACATGAAATTGACCAGATATTATTTTTTTCCTTTTTTTTTTTCTTTTTGATTTTTTCCGAGAGTTGTTTTTTCATTTTTGGTTTCTCTGTGTAGCTTTGGAGCCTATCCTGGCACTCGCTCTGGAGACCAGGCTGGCCTCGAAGTCGCAGAGATCCGCCTGCCTCTGCCTCCGGAGTGCTAGGGTTAAAGGCGTGGGCCACCACTGCCCAGCTGACCTAAATATCTTAAACAGGAGTGTCATTTGGCTCACAAGGCAAATCAGTTTGGTTCTTCAGGGATTATACCTGATACATAACGGAATCATCATCACAAATCTCACTCATTTAAATGAACTTCTGTGTCCTGAATGGTCTCTAAAGACCATCTAAACTGGAGATCAATTACAGCCTAAGCTGGAATCTTGCTCTCTACCTTGATTAGTAGCTGGGGGCAACCATCAGATCTCACTTAATAATCAAACCACACAGCCTCTGCCTTGACAAGGAATAGATACCCTATTGACCCAGTGAGCTTAACAATATTTCCCTTAAGACATGTGGAGGAAATATACTGCTTTTAATGCATGTTGATTGTCCATTGCATGTACTCTTTAGTGTTTGAGTGTATGCATTTATTAGCTCACGGCAGTGGTTTTGATACCAAGTTCTTTAAAATTGTTTCAATGTTTAATATGTTATATTGGGTCAAAGTTTGACTATTATTGTGAACTTGGTTATACATAGTTCATAATCATTTGATATATTTATTAATGTTGGAATTTGTGAAGTTAGGCTGTGTTTGGTTTTGTTTTTTGAGACAAGGTATCATGTTATCCAAGATGGCCTCAAAATGCTAAGTAGACCCAGCTGGCTGGTCTTGAACTCCTGATCAGCCCTATCTCCCAAGCACTGGGATGATAGGAGTGTACTGTTTAGGCTATGTGGACTTTTTTGTTTGTTTGTTTTGTTTCTTTTGAGAGACAGGGTCTCATTCTAGCCCTGGTTAGCCTAGAAATCACAGAGATCTGGATTAAAGATTCATGTCACCATGCCCAGCACAAATTCTTTGAGAATTAGAATTGAAGTTGCTTATGGCTCAAGCCTATAATCCCATCACTGGGGAGGCTGAGATAGAAGGGTTGCTGTGAGTATAAGGTGATCCTAGGCTTTCAAAGTGTTCTGGACCAGCCTAGCCTACAAAGTCACATTATCTTAAAGAATGCTGCCTTTACTCAGTTGGCAGACTACATATCTAACATGAAAACTAGGTTTGATCCCCAGCAGAGCACACACTGGTTGTGCTGTTGTACACTTGTAACTCCAGCTTAGGGGGTGTTATTACAAGTTACAGTGCACACACTGGTTGTGCTGTGGTACACCTTAGGGGAGTGTCATTACAAGTTATAGGCCAACCTAAGCTGTAAGAGGTCTTGTCTCAAAACAACTTTTAAAATAACTTCTATGCAGAAATCCATGAATATAATAGAATTGTTTTGGTAACTCCTACTTATCTTCACTTTGTATTGCAAATGGATTATAGCCTGTCAAAAAAAAAATAGAATTGTTTTCTATTTTATTTTTGTGGTGCTACAAATTGAACACAGGGCTTTGCTCATGCTGGGTAAGCATGCTACCATTGAGCTATAGACTCAGCTCATGTTCTGTATCTCAGAAAGAAGAATCTAACTATGATCATTTGTCCTTTTATTTTGGAGAAATCTTTGGGTAGTCACTTTCATCTTTTCCCTGTTTCATTTGTACTAAATATAGTTAAGATATAATTTATAAATGTGGGTGATGATTCTTGATTTATACTATCTTTAGGAGTTTGATTCCATATATTTTATGTAATTTCATTGTAATGAAAATGATTAGTACTTTCAAAGCAAAAATATTTTTTCTGTCTAGAGAGTTCTGGAGTCTGAAGAACAAGTGCTTGTTATGTATCATAGGTATTGGGAAGAGTACAGCAAGGGTGCCGACTATATGGACTGCTTATATAGGTGAGTGCTTTAAAATCTTAACCACTTAGCAGTACTGCCTGCATTCATAACTATTTTTAAGATTATTTCTATGTCTAGATATTATACCTGCATGTGTCTCTGTAGCATTTACATGCCTAGTGTCCTGGGGCACTGTAAATTATACTAATGGGTTTAATTATGAAAGAGTAATTTACATTATTTCCCATTGGAATATGGGTTACTAATAGGGACTTTGTTAGATAGGTCCACAGTCAGAGATAGGCAGGTACGTAGACAGTTAACCCTGTGGAAAAGAAGTAAATGTAGCTATTTCTTAAAATTGTCTGGAACACATGCTAAATTCCAACATAGATGGGTGCAAAAGCTCAGGTTGGATGAAGCTTAGTGGGGTAAATCTAAGCCACGTTCTCACATATTTTCATAAGACTAAGCATTTCAGGCTTTATGAGGCAACTGTTAAAATACTTGGTAGGTTTCTTCAAGGTCTGGGGGGGTGTTGATTCAGCCATAATCGTGCTCCCCTGCTCTCCTTTCTTCCTGTCTTTCCCTCACTGCTCCATCTGGCTGCACTCTGGATGACTAATTTTGGCACATTCTTTCTTCTTACATTCCCCTTTCTAAATTTTCCTCATCTCCAGCTTAGGTTTTGTATTTCCATGGTTCTCTGTGATGTTCCTATTTGATTCACTCTCTTAGACCACAGAAATAAGAACAATTGTCTGTTGCATAATGACAGAACTTAAAAAACTCTAAGAAATTGTTTCAACAGCAAAGTTTGTGCATACATAAGCTAATGTGGCTGTGCCATAACTAAGCACTATAGTCTTAGAGATCCTTGTGTAAGTAGTCCATCATTGAAAATGTTCATGACAATTGCTGAATAAAGCAGACATTTGTTTATTGTCTTAGGGTTTCTATTGCTGTGAAGAGGCACCATGATCAGGAAAACATTTGATTGAGGTTTTAGAGGTTTAGTCCATTATCATCATGGCAGGGAGCATGGCGACTGGGAGTATTTTGGTGTGCAGGCAGACATGGAGCTGGAGGAGCTGACAATTATACATCTTGTAGGCAACAGGAAGTGGTCTGAGACACTAGGCAATATCTTGAGCATATGAGAGACCTCAAAGCCTGCCTCCACAGTGATACACACTTCCTCCAAGACCACACCTACTGCAACAAGGCCACACCTCCTAATAATGCCCTGGCCTATGAGATTATGGGACAAATTACATTGAAACTACCATATTCCACTCCCTGGCCCCCATAAACTTGTAATATCATAATGCAAAAATGCTTTTTAGTCCAACTTCCTAAATCCCCATAGTCTAACACAGTTTCAACAAAGTTCAAAGTTTCTACTGTGATTCATATGCAATCTCTTTAATACCCTATAAAAAACAAACAGCCAGGTGGTGGCAATGCCTTTAATCCCCACAGAGGCAGGCGGATCTCTCTTGAGACCAGCTCGTTCTAAAAAGCTAGTTCCTGAACAGCCTCCAAAGCCACAGAGAAACCCTGCCTGGAAACCCTCTCCCCAAGAAAAACTAAACAAAACAAACAAACAAGCCAACTGATTACAGGCGGGCAATGGTGGTACACACCTTTAATCCCAGCACTTAGCAAGCAGAGATAGGCAGATCTCTCTTTGTTCAAGGCCAGCCTGGTCTACAGAGCAAGTTCCAGGACTGGCTCCATAGCCACTGGGAAACCCTGCCTGGGGAAAAAAAAAAAAGGTCACACCCTTCCATCATATAATGGCACAGGATATACATACATTACCATTCTAAAACAGCTACCACATTTATTGATGGATAGTAAATATCAAACACTGACATGGACATAAAGTACATGTTTCTCTTATTCTTGGGCCTCGAGAGTCCACTATTACAATGATTATGGCCCGAGATGGATTCAGTGATAATTTTGCCCTGTGTTTTGTGGCTTAGTCCATAGATGGGCCCAAGTTTCAGTACGTCACTGTGGAGAAGCTCAACACTTGAGGTAGTTCTACAGGTATAGTCTGCCATTCCACCTTGGTCTGTGACAGTACCTACAATATTGCCAAAGCAACTCTCAGTTCTCCTGGCTTGTTGGTGCTCCTTTGCCTTGTTGGTTCAAAGGAAGTATAGTTAACTTAATCTATGTTGCCCGTATAGAAATTGGGCTTCACAATGGCGCAGTGGCTTTTAGAAGAGCAAAAACATAATTAAAAAATCAGTTTACTGTGAAGCACAGGTTTATTGTGGTGTTAATTTCATGAAACACTTCCTGTGCATTATACATCGTGAGATTTTAAGGTAATCCCTAGCTAAATTGTAGTATTGTTGGAATTTGAAGAGCAAGTGGGTGTTCATGCTTTTGCCATTGCTTATATGCGTGGGCCTTTAGTGTAGAATATACACTGTGCCATAGTGGGTCTCCTTAGCTGAAATGGTTTGGTAAAGAGCTGCTTTTCTCCTTGTTAGTTTTCTTGCTTTGTGGTTCTATTCTTCAAGGTGGATTGATAATTTAGTACTATTTAAATTCATACTATTATGCTAGTACTAGCTATGAGCACCTGCACATTAAAACCATATGAGGTTGGTAATAACTTTGAGGTCAGCCAGTTGCTAATTGAGGCACAATTTAAACTCCTTATCAGACTTCAGGGCTCGTTCATTTTATTATACTGTAGTCTTTTTACATGCATATTTTATTAATTTTTGAGACCAGTTTGTGACTGACTTCTCAAGTGCTAAGATTTTAAGTGTATGCCACCATACCTGGTTTATGTATCTTATTACTGTCTAAAATCACTGACTTTCCACTGTCTGAAGTATAATCATAGAGCTGATGGCTATGGGAGTCAATTAATTGTCCTTTGTAGTATTAGTTATCATCATAACTGATGGTCATTCTTTTTAATTTAACTGATAAGGTGAGTAGTAATGAGATCCTTTCATAGATGCCATAGTTGCCAATAATTAGATGGAAACACATGGTGTTTTTCTTGGGTGGTAGACTGGTCAAGTCATCTAGGCCATTCCTTGTTTCTAGTCATAGTCTGTAAGAAAATGTATAAAAAAATCTATATAAAGAGATAAATACCAGTTTCACCAAGCAATTTTGTTTGTTTAAAGATGGGAGCCTGTCTTACTGTGTTCTCCAAGCTGATCTAGAATTCTTTGGGTACAGGCTTCCCTATTGTTTTAGCCTCACCATGTATATAATTATTTTAAAAATTATATAGAATTGTTTAAATAATCCACTTTAAAATTATTATTTGTTTTAAAACAGGGTCTTGCTAGCTTAACCTGTCCTTGAACTTGTGGTCCTCCTTTGCCAGCTTCCCAAGTGCTGTGGTTGTGGATATGTGCTTACTTCCTTTTTCTTTATTTTTTTGAGTCAGGGTTTCTCTGTGACAGCTCTTGGCTGTCCTGGAACTTGCTCTGTAGACCTGGCTGGCCTTGAACTCATAGAGATCAGATCCATCTGCCTCTTTCTCCTGAGTGCTGAGGTTAGTGTGTACCACCATTGATTGCCTGGCTATAGATGTGTACTCTTAAACTGACTTTAACAATTAATTGCTTATTTCTGGTATTTGTCTTTTATAGTCTGGCTTAGGCTGCTTGTCTAAATTAATGTTCTAATATTAACTATTTCTGGCCCTGCTGTTTAGATTGTTACCATTCTTTTAAAATACATTAAAAAGGAAATTGTTTTTTAGAGGTTGATATTTGCCTGCCGCGATTTTTTTGATTGATTAGGAAAAGGCCCTTATTTCTCCACCTTTATATTCCAGAAAGGAACTGAGAATACAAAAACATTTGTCAATAAAAGGATTATGTATGTTGTAGCAAGTACTGTGTAGCTGGTAAAACATCATTTTGTTTGATGTGGGAAGATAAAGTTAATTCAGAAGGAGATCAAGGCAGGCCTGAAATGTGTGAGGCCTGAATGAGAGAGGTCAGGCATTACAATCCCAGCCACAGAACATTGTGGGCTGTAGATTGGCCTTTTGATAGTTTTTATTCCTGTCTCTCAATCCTTTCCTTAGCTGAAAGGCATTGTTAGAAATACAACTTGAAGAACTGGGTGGTGTACACCTATCCCAGCACTCCAGCAGAGGCAGGCAGATCTCTGAGTTCAAGGCCAGCCTGGTCTACAGATTTGAGTTCCAGGACAGCCATGGCTACACAAGAGAGAAACACTGTTTCAAAAAACTAATAAGTAAATAAATTAATGAAAAGAAAAGAGAAATAGTAGCAGTACGGTGAGAACTGAGGCAAAAGCTTAAACCCAGGGTTGGTTGTCATACAGGAGAAATTGTTTTGGTTGTTTTAATTCTTGCTGCCTGTGCTAAGTGGACTCTTTCTGGTGTAGTAACCCTTGCAGAAAGTCCAGGGCTAATAATATATTGTTTTCATTTATTTCTAACTTGGATATAATTTCTTTTGGAGTTATCACTGAATTAGTCTTTAAACTTAACCCTAAAATTACTATTCTAGATTCATGAGTTATTTATTTTCCTAACTGATTTTGAGTTTACATCCATTGTACTTGTGTTAAATTTTCAGGTATCTCAATACCCAATATATTAAAAAAAATAAATTGACAGAAGCCGATTTACAATATGGCTACGGTGGAGTAGATATGAATGAACCACTTATGGAAATAGGAGAGGTAAGAAATTCTTTAAGTGACTTCAAACATAATTTGTTTTTAAATTTAAATTTGAAATATTATTGTTTGTATATGTGTGTAATGATAAGTCTTTCCACCAAGCTGCCCAAGCCCCGCTGCCACATAGGCACCCAAAATAACACACAGAATCTTATATTAGGTACAGTGTTGCTGGCCAATGACTAGGATTTCTTACTGCTAGCTCAGTCTTAAATATCAACTATAACTATTAGTCTATATAATTTATAAGAACTTATCTGATCGAGGACTCCAGCTCACATGGTGCCTCCCAGAGAAGAGAAGAGGAGGAAGAGTGATTTTCTGCTTGTTCCTGTTTATATTGAGTCGGCCTGCTATGTCACAAGACTTATAATTCTGATGGGATGATGACTACTTTAAATGAGAAATTTCTTTTCCTTCAGTTTTTACTTGTATTTTAAAATACCGATACTATTTCTGTTGATGGGTATTTCTATTTTACAAGATCCTAGAATGAATGTTAAAGGAAAAAAATCTACCTAATTCAGCCTTGATGATTTCTGTTTTTCCTGGCAGCTAGCATTGGACATGTGGAGGAAGCTCATGATTGAACCCCTTCAGGACATCCTCATCCGAATGCTGCTCAGAGAAATCAAAAAGTGAGTATGGGGTTTTAATCCCCTTGGTGAGTTAATGTTTAGTTTATTGACTGATCTGATATGTTGTTCTTTATTAGCATGTAGTGTGTTTCTGTCAATTCTGATTAATTTTGAGTTCACTCTAATTTCTTCATTCTTAAGGTTTTTCTGGTTATTTTATAAAGCAAATACAAAATGGGATTACCTTCTTAATTTCTGATTCAGATAACTTGCTACTAGCCAACAGTAGCACTACTACTGATTTCTGTATATTCATTCTGTATTCTGCAAATGGATTCAGTTACTTTAATAGTTTTTTTGTTGTTGTAGTATAAACTTTGTGGTATATGTCCCCTGTACCCCCCAAGGCCATCTGTAAACCAATGCTTTTATTTCCCCCACCCCCAGTTTGAATGTTACTTAGTTCTTCCTGTCTGATTGCTGGGGCTTGGAGAGGCTTTTCTCTCCTCCCCATTCAGTACAATGTGATGCTGACTGAAGCCCAGGTGTCTGGTGGTTATAGCTGAAGAACTATATCTGTGATAGTCACAGCACATCATTTTCCATCGAATCACATTTATTGAGATGATTTCTATTAGCTATGATGATGATGATGATGAGATGAAGAAAAACTGTTTCAAGCTTTATACATGTGTTCTGACCTCATAATTTTTATTAGGGCATTAAGTTAGCAGTTGTATATTGGCATACTGGGGTATAAGTCCACAGATGACTGTTCTCAAGCATGTTGTGTTATACTTTGTTTCAGTGATCGTGGTGGTGAAGACCCAAACCAGAAAGTAATCCATGGGGTTATTAACTCCTTTGTTCATGTTGAACAGTATAAGAAAAAATTTCCCTTAAAGGTAAAAAGTCTACTTCAAAACATGATGAGACCTTTAATTTCTGAAATGTTCTGGTTTTTACTAATACAATTTTAATTGATTTTCAGTTTTATCAGGGAATCTTTGTGTCTCCCTTTCTGACTGAAACAGGAGAATATTACAAGCAAGAAGCTTCAAATTTATTACAAGAATCAAATTGCTCACAGTATATGGAAAAGGTAAAAAAAAAAAAAAGGAAACACCTCATGTGCATTTACCTGTTGCACACCTCTTTATTTAACAGCATAAATATTTAGTATTGCTTTAGTGGGAAAGATCTGTTGTATCATTTCTCCTAAAAAACAAAATGCTATTTTAGTTACATTATTAGAATTAATATTATATGGGCTAGATAGATTGCTCAGTGATTAAGAGCATATATACCTCAAGTAGAGGACCTGCTTTTAATTCCCAGAAAAACCACTTGTAACACTTGTTCCAGAGGATCTGACGATGTCCTTTTCTGGATTCCATGGGTACCTGTACTCTGGGTGCACATACCCACTCATAGATACATATATACACACAGATTCATATGTACACATATTTTAAAAGTAGTCTTTAAAAAGTTAATATAAGATGGATATTGTGCCACTGTTCAGGTGTGGTGATCAGAGAACAACTTGGGGGTGGATTGGATCCCTCCATCATGTGGGATCTGAGAATCTATCTTAGGTCCTTAGGCTAGTCTGCAAATGCCTTGACTCACAGTCATTGTGAGGCCCCAGTTCAGCCCCCAGCACTGCATAACCTGTCATAACCAGACAGAGGCAGGAAGATCGGGAGTTCAAGGTCCTCAGCTATATAAGGAATTTCAGGCCAGCCCTGGAAACATGACTGTTTCTAGTATAAATAAATAAGATAAAAATAACAAAGTAGAAGGAAAAAGTGGAGGGCAAATAAGATAATCTGAGTCATGGTAAATCTTGGTATGCTGAATTCTGAACATTGTATCAAACCTCCAGAAGGAATTTTAAACCCTATTAATAGTTTCATGGTAATAAGAAAGAGTGATAGAGTCATTATAAAGAAACATGAGAATTTTACCTAGATTTTTTTAAGTTTTGGTTTCTTGATATTTTGAAACAGTCTTCCTCAACCTTCATGTCCTAGCAGTCCTCCTGCCTTCACCCCCTAAGTCCTGGGATTACAGATGTGCATCTCTGTGTCTGGTTTAACCAGCTTTTGGTTTGCAGTGTTATGTTTCAAGCATTTTGGTACTGAATGATTTTTGCTAGATGGTTTAACGGGGAAGATGAAATAATGTAAGGGGACTAGCAAAACAACATAGTGATTACCTTTTAAAATCTAGAGACCTATACTAGTAGGTATCCAATAGAATAGAATCTCGTTTAGTGTTCTAATGAGATATTTCATTATATTTCCAGTGATTCCCTATCCTTATTTCCAGACAACCACCAATCTTTAAAAGCCCCATTCACATAATTCCTTGGGGTCGCTTAAGTCCAGAAACTATTTCCTTAGCTTCTAATCACAGTGGTTTCCTAGTCCACACAACTTTATATGTGTCAGCTAGCATAGTCTTCATGCCTATAATATTGTAGTTTTGTTTTGTTACAGAATTGGGCAGGTGTTTTACCATCTTCCTATCTTTACTAACTTTTTATTGAACTGCATTTTATTTGGACTTGATTTCTTTCCATACAGAATAATCTTTGATAAAAGTTCTTGGTTGACTTGTTTGACTCACTTATAAAAGTCTTTAAGCCAGGCAGTGGTGGTGCATACCTTTAATCCCAGCACTCAGGAGACAGAGGCAAGTGGATCTCTGTGAGTTCGAGACCAGCCTGGTCTATAGATCAAGTTCCAGGACAGCCAGGGCTGTTACACAGAAACCGTCTTGGGTGGGGGGGTCTTTAATGTGACAGCATGGTTTGTGTAGTTTGTTCCCATTTCATAAAATGGAAAAAAGGAAGAATCTACTTGATGTATTGATCTTTACACTTTACTCCTGTTTTGTGTTGGATTCCTGACACAGCAGGTGATTTGGGCTGATCAATGAAGATAGTTCTTGTTCAGAATGTAGTGGGGGGATGTAGGTGACAGGCAGTAACCTAAGTAGATCTTAAATGAATTATAAATTTGAGTTGAAATTGTTAAAGCTTTTCCATATACCCTGACCTGCATCCCCCTAGAGGTAGTGAGAGCTAGCTGATATTAAACTTTGTGTCGTAGTTCATAATTGTAAAAATATATTTCTGTAGGTTCTAGGTAGATTAAAAGATGAAGAAATTAGATGTCGAAAATATTTGCATCCAAGTTCATATACTAAAGTGATTCACGAGTGTCAGCAGCGTATGGTAGCAGACCACTTACAGTTCTTACATGCAGAGTGCCACAACATCATTCGGCAAGAAAGAAAGAATGGTAAGTGCACCCTGTGGACATGTGAGTGGGAATTAAATGATACATAGAAGATTTCTATCGTTTGTTACTTACTTTGCACACTCCCTGGTATAGTATATGTTCTTTTCTGACTCAATATAGTTTAGAGTTTTGGAAAAGCATTTCCAAAGTACAGTCTAAAGTAAAAAGATGAATTAGGGAAATGTGTTTATGCTTTTATATATCTCAAGCGTTACTCTGCTTAATTTGAGAATTCCTTATCTGCAATAGGAAATCAGACTATGGAAAAAGAAGTACAGAATCAGGAAGGATAGGATAAAACAGGGATGCTGAATCTAACTCAGTTTAAAGAAATACTAGCAATAAAAGGTGAAAACACTTTTTTTTTAATACTTGATGTGTAGTCAGAATAAATACAAGACTGTAGTTGTCCCAACCTGCGGGACAGTAACCTAGGGCAAGAAGTCCAGGGAGGGGAACGGGAACAAGAGACTTGAGAGAATGACCACAAGACAGTATTCTGATCAAGTGGCAAATTTTATTTTTTCCAGGCTAGCTTATATAGGCAGTAGTATGGGGTAAAGGGGAGGGCGAGAAGAGGCCAAGAGCCAGGTGGGAGTATAAACTGATGCAGCTGTATTTGCAAAGCTATCACTGAGTGCCAAAGTAATATATATGTATATTTCATGGTCCAACAAGTATGCTAGACATGGGACTCCTTCCCTATGCATACATACATGCGTGTACAAAAATGTACAAGGGAGCCAGGCATTGGTGGCCCACGCCTTTAATCACAGCACTTGGAGGCAGAGGCAGGCGGATCTATGTGAGTTAGACCAGCCTGGTCTAACAAGAGCTAGTTCCAGGACAGCCTCAGAGAAACCCTGTCTCGAAAAACCAAAAAAAAAAAAAAAGTTGCTAAGCTAACTTACAGAGTCACATGAATAATACTACAACCTTAAAACTGCCCAGGATAGGATCCAAAGCTACAAGAGATACCCTGTCTCGGGGAAAAAAAAAAAAAAACCGTACAAGGGTCTTCATAGCAACATTCTTTGTAATGACTAGAACTAATCCACATACCCAATGATGCTTATACCAGAGACTATTACAGAAGAGAAATGAACACACTAAACCTAAACACAACACAGATGAACCTTAAATGTAAGAAACAAAAGAAATCAGACAGAAACATTGTGTAATTGTTTATGTTCATAGTTCAAGCCAGGTGAGCTCAACCTGCGGTTACTGTGGTTTGCAGAAGAGCAGTAGTGGTCAGGAGATGGCTGTAGGGCATTGCTAGATAAGGAGTATCTGTTTTTAAGCCTGAGTGTGCACATATGGGGTGTTGTACTAATTTACAGAGTCATACAGACAGTTGTCTGCATGTATATTAATATCTCAACAAGTCATTTAAGATGAAGACAGTATGCAGTAGCATTATTTCTCACTGTTCAGTGTCACAGGAACTTCTTGCTTGGTTCTCTGCTTAGAAGGATCTCACTATAAGATCACAAACCATAGCATCTTCAGGGATTTATACTACAGATATTCTTCCCCAAGTTATTAATCACAACATCAATCATTTCCCAGTAATTGTAACAAAGCTGTGAAATACATGGAATTGCTTTATGTACTAGTATAAGATACTTGTAAGTTTAGATAGCCTGAAGTTGCTAATAGCACATACAATGCACAATAGTACTTGAGTCAAAGGAAAGAAGGGGAAGAAATATGTGTATTTTCTTGAATTTTCCTCCGTCATCATTAAATAGTAAAGAACAACAGCATTGCTTTCTTGTGGAGAGGGAGGTAAGGTGACTGGGAAGTGAGAGTGTATGTTTGTGTTAAAGTGGGGCGTGCCTTTTATCCACACATTCCTTTTAACTTCTCCATTTTAAAGCATGCATTACGTAATAAGGTTGAGAACTTAATAAACGCTCTTTTTCTCTCAGACATGGCAAATATGTACGTCTTGCTCCGTGCTGTGTCCAGTGGCTTACCTCATATGATTCAGGAGCTGCAAAATCATATTCACGATGAGGGCCTTAGAGCAACCAGTAACCTAACTCAGGAACACGTGAGTGTATAGAAGGGTAGAGCACACTCTCTTAACCAGACATAGAGAGGTTTTCTTTTGACCTTGATGGTTTATAAAGAAGGGCTTTGTCATAAGAAACTAAGCCACTTATTTATATTCAAATGTTTTAAATCTCGAACTTAGTGAGTTCTTGGGATTACTAAATTGTGAGAAGCTGTTGAGAGCAGCTGCTTCCTAACAGTACTGATTGCCACGAGCATTTGTTAACCTTCTTGCAGTTTCTATATAATTTTGTTTCTTTGTAAGCGGCAGATTTAAAAACCTTCCCTGCCTCTAGCTGGCCCCAGTCACTCACCCTCAGCTTCCCTAATCCTCATCTTTTTGAAGAGGCTCCTACCAGCCAGTGACCATATATCATAGGTGTTATTACTGGCCATGTTCAAAATTTGTTGCTAAGTTTGCAGAGTTTTGAGTGACACTGAACAAAAACTGAGCTTCATTTCAAGGCTGAGATGTGAGAATACGAATTTATGTCACTTTCAAATTCAGTCATTTTCTTTGAGAGGGAAACTCAATTTTAAGTATATTTCGACCCTTTAGCTTGGGGGAGTTAACTCTGCCCAATTCCAGGGTCCCATTCTCCCAGTAACTGGCTGTCTAATCCTCTTCTAGCTGCCTGGTGTTGACAGGCCTGGGACTTAGGGGTATGTATGTAGGTTTATATGGTAGAGGACTTGTTAGGCCTGGTGTTGAATAGCTGTCCCATTTGATAGAAGAGGAGTCTTAGATTTTTTCTTTTACTTGCCTCATTTATTTTGTTTAATGTTCATTGGTATTTTGCCATGGGTGTCAGACCCACCTCCCCCCAGACTGGAATTACAGACAATTGTGAACTGCCATGTGCTGGGAATTGAACCCAGGTCCTCTGGAAGAGCAGTCAGTGCTCTTAACCACTGAGCCATCTATCCAGCCCCAAGTCTTAGATTTTTGTGGCCAGTGTAGCTAGAGATGGCAGGTGGGTTGCGGGAGTGGAGGTAGGGGGAGGGGTAAGCTTTTACTCTTCAGCCAAAGTTTTTTCTTAATTATCTTAAAATATAAATTTATACTTGTATTTTATGTTTTTAGATGCCAACACTATTTGTGGAATCAGTTTTGGAAGTACATGGTAAATTTGTCCAACTTATCAACACTGTTTTGAATGGTGATCAGCATTTTATGAGTGCTTTAGATAAGGTAACTTTTAAACAAATACACATGCCTAAGCTATATGTACATAAAATTCTGCTTATCCTGTAATATACAATGTTCAATTAGACATCTTTGTTAGCCATCTAAGTTTGAGATCTTGAGATCTCATTAAATAACCACTTTGAATTTGAGAGTCTAAGTTTTAAGTTGTTATAGTGAGCACCCATAGAGTTCCTTATGTCAGTGTTACTGTTGTTAGTACACTGTTGTGCATAATCCTAGTGTCTGTTAGTACTGATACTTTCTTTGTATAGTCCAGACAGTGGTAGGGCTGGTAGTTCCCTATAGCCTTTACTATATTTAGTCTGTATCCATTCTTGGTTTGAAAGACACCAGGAATTTGAATTGGTATTTGACATAGAAAACTCACTTACAGGTTGTAAAATATCAAAAAGTACTGCTAACGTTTCAGCAAATACCAACTTATAATGAGGAAAGGCATAAGTGCTTCTTATAATAATATTTTGGTTTGTGTGGTAACTTAGCTTTCTGTCAGCATGACAAAATACTGAGCTAAGCACAAGGAAATTTTTTTTTTTAAACTTAAGATTTCACAAGTTTCTGCCTTACTAATTGACCAAATTGCCTTTGGGCATCTCATGGTAGATGAAACTGTTCACCTAATGGTGACCCAAAGAAGCAGAGAGAGAGGGAAAAGAAGGACCCAGGCATGCCAGTGTCCCTTTTAATACATAGCCTTTAGAGTTGCTGGGGAAATAAATAGCACAGTCTTAGCACCTGTGTGTAAAAAAAAAAAAACAAACTGTAGTATAATCCCAGTGCTGGGGAGGTGAAGACCGGTGTCATGGGCTTGCTGTCCAGCTAGCTTAGCACTCAGTGTGCTGTAGGTCCCAGTGACTCTGCCTCGAAACACAAGGTGGGCTGGCTCTTGAAGAACAATAATAGCTAAAGTATATTCTCCCTTAGGAGAACACCTACACATTCACACACAGAGATGGCTGAACCGGGTATTATAGACCTGATTACAGCTGATTCTTAGCCTCCTGTGTGCTCTTGCCTGCCTCTGGTATCTAATCATGTGTTGTTTCCTTGTTTAGGCCCTTACATCTGTTGTAAATTACAGAGAACCCAAATCTGTTTGCAAAGCACCTGAACTGGTAAGTTTAGTTGCTTAAAAGTAATCTCATGCAAAGTCAGTAAAGGAAAAGTTAGTAGACTGGCAAATTAATTTGTTTCATGTACTTTTTTTCAGAAACTGAAAATTGCATTATTTACAGTTTTGAATTTATGTATAGAATTCATCAAAGCATGTGCCCTTTCTTAACCATAGGAGAACATAATTCACAAATAGTATGATCCTGTTAAAAAGAAAAATGTACTGCTTATTGTGATCACTAATTGCTGGTTAGATTTTTCTTTTACATCCATAATTTTAAGCATAACTTTAGGACATAACAACTATGTCTATTGGGGCACTTTCCTTTTGTGCTGTTGCTGGTAACTCATGGTTAGGCCTTTACATCAGTTCTAAGTGACCCACCTATTCACTTTTTGTGTTGCCACCTTTGAGGTGTCTGTCCCAAGGGCCCTTTGTAAGATTTATTACCAATTTCTTTTTGAGCTTGCTAAGTACTGTGACAACTTGCTAAAGAAGTCAGCAAAGGGGATGACTGAGAATGAAGTGGAGGACAAACTCACCAGCTTCATCACTGTTTTCAAATACATCGATGACAAAGACGTTTTTCAGAAGGTAAGCTGAACAAAATGTTCAGATTATAGTTATCAGCTTTGCTTTATTTTGAACTTCAAGTCATAATGAAAGTAACCATTTATATTTTCATGCAGTTCTATGCAAGAATGCTAGCAAAACGTCTAATTCATGGGTTGTCTATGTCTATGGATTCTGAAGAAGCCATGATCAATAAATTAAAGGTAACACAAATCATAGAAATCATCGAACCAACAGTCAATAGCTCATTGTATGTAATGACTGCATACGTCACAGCAGTCCAGACGTAAATGTATTTGCATACAATGCTACATGTCATTATGAGACTCAAAGGACAAAACCCATCTCTAGTCTCCTAATTCATCCCTGATTGATTATTCTCAGTTTAGGTTATATGCTTTGCAATTTGTTTTCCAGCAAGCCTGTGGTTATGAGTTTACTAGCAAGCTGCATCGGATGTACACAGATATGAGTGTCAGTGCTGATCTCAACAATAAGTTCAACAATTTCATCAGAAACCAAGACACAGTGATAGATTTGGGGATTAGTTTCCAAATATATGTCCTTCAGGTATGATACTACTTTTTTACATTTATGAAATTTGACATTGTGATATAAAAGCTAGCAACTAACTCCTGATGATAGTGTATGGTCAGCTGGTCACACTTTATAGACATGGAATAAAATGTGTCCTGATGGTGAAGACCATAGCACTGTCAGCATTGTGAGAAAGGGAAAAGGTCTGTCTCAGCTGCTTGCTTGCCTGGTAAATGTCTATCTTGTTGAATTTTTTATTTCACTGTTCTTTTTAGGCTGGTGCATGGCCTCTCACTCAGGCTCCTTCGTCAACATTTGCTATTCCACAAGAGTTAGAAAAAAGTGTACAAATGGTAAGTGTGTAGGAATGATACCAGTAAACAAAGGCATTGCAATGCCTCTGTGTGTGTGTGTGTTGTGTATTTCTGTTTGGGGTAAGCCTACTGGTTCTTCAGCACCTATAATCATAAAAGTTTTGGTATTATATGAAGGCTTAGGGCTAATTTGATGAATGGTCCAGTGGGTGATGGCAGTTGGTACCAAGCCTGACAACCTGGATTCAGTTTCTAGACCCCACATGGTTGATGAAAAAAAACAACTCCCACAGGTTGTCCTCTCACATTCACGTGTGGCCCATGGACAGCACTCCATCACCCCAAATAAATAATGTACATTAGTTTAGAAAAAAGAGAAAGCCTCGGTGTCATTCTACCTTTCCATTTGAGCTTTGAGGCTATGTTTATGCTTCGTTTAGTCATGGTTAACATTTTAATTTTCCTGTAGTTGAGACATGTTATATATGAGGTGAGATACCAAAAAAATAATATATGGAGTCAGGTGGTAGTGGTACACACCTTTAGTCCCAGCATTCGGGAGGTAGAGGCAGATGGGTCTCTGAGTTCAAGGCTAGTCTGGTCTATCTACAAAGCGAGTTACAGAACAGCCAGAGTTGTGTGGGTGGGTGGGGAGGAAACATAAAAAGTGAAAGTCTCTGTTAGGTAGGACAGAAATCCCAGAGGCTGACCTTTTATATAGAGATGGGCATGCACACACAAATGGATAAATATATAAATATATATTTTGTTTGCTTTTCAAGGCAGGATCTCTCTGTGTAAAAGCCCTGGCTTTCCTGGAACTCACTCTGTTGCCCAGCCTGGTCTACAGAGATCCACCTGTTTCTGCCTCCCGAGTATTGGGATTAAAGGATTGTGATATCACACACAGCAATTTAAATTAAAAATGAAAAAAAAAAATGTGAACTGGGACTATATAGCTCATGCAGGAAGCCCTGGGTTCCACCCCATCACAAAACTATGCTGTAATCCTAGCATGCAGGAGGTGGAGGCAGGAAATCAGAGAGAGGATCAAAGTCCTTCTCAGCTATGCATTAAGCTAAAGGCCACCTGGACTATCTGAGACCCTATGTCAAAAAAAATGTTACACATTCAGTACAAGGAAGGAATTTTTAAAATTTCAAAGCGTTGATAAAAATTTTTAAAGATATTCTTTTTTAATTGTATATATGTATCTAATGTGAATCATGTATCTGTCTGTGTGTATGTGCATGTGAGTGCAGGTGCCCACAAGTCAGATAAGGTGGTGGAATCCCCTAGAACTGGGGAACTATGAACCATTTCTTGTGGGTTCTGGGAACCAGAATATTATTTGCAAGAGCAGTACGTGTCCTTAACTGCTAATTTACCTCTTTATACTGTGTTCACACAATTACAAATTTAAATGCAATAACATCAAAAAAAGGCTGTGGATAGATTGGTTCCTTGAGCCCCACAGCTTTATTCATGTTATTGTTGACATGGATGTCAATTCATGGACCCTGGCCAGGCCTTGGTGGCGCATGCCTTTAATCCCAGCACTCCGGAGGCAGAGGCAGGCGATCTCTGTGAGTTTGAGGCCACCCTGGTCTACAAAGAAACCCTGTCTCAAAAAACCAAAAAAAAAAAAAAAAAACCATGGACCCCATTGTGTATTCACCACACATACACATTGGTTATCCTGTCCATTATGTGAGTCTGTGGGCTGGTAAATGTAGGTATGGCTTTCATGTTGAAATGCATGTGATGGCATATTTGATCTTTAAACAGAATCTATAAAGTACAGATTAATATTGATGTATTTCTGATTTTATGCAAAGATGTAAATTTTTCAGGTGCTGAGGTTTGGGGGAAACTAGAAAGAGCTAGAATGGGACTTGGGGATCAGCACAGTGGGTAAAGTGACTGCTGCTCAAGATGAGAACCTTGAGGACCTGAATTCAGATTCTGGTGCCCAGTGCTGGTCAGGGAGAAGATGCAAGCACCCTGGGAGTTCCTGGCTGGCCAGTGCAGCTGAGATAGCAAGCTCCAGATTCAGTGAAGCCCCTTTCTCAAAATAATGTACAGGTGCAATCAAGGAAGACATGCCCATATTAACTCCTACCTTTCACATACATACATGTACAAACTGGGTTAGTTAAATAACATGCCAACATGTCTTAGTAACTCACATTGTAGCAGAGAACTTTCCATAGACTTGTCTGAGTTGTCTGCATGAGTTACTCTGCCCCTTTTTAATGCTGTATCCCAGTGTGGCCCCTGAGCTCAAGTGAATCTCTGTCTTAGCTTTTTACATCTCTGGGACTGTGAATGTACACCATAGCACTTGGCTGCTCTGCAGGGGTATATACTTTATGTGCAGGACCAGAGCAGCAAGTCACTGCTGACCCAGCAGGTTTGCCACAGATTGGTGCCAGCACACCTACTTAGCAGTTGGATTGATTATTCATGATCTTGAGCAGGTACTCTGGACAAGGTTTATCATTAAGTGGACTAAGATGCGTTTACCTTTTCAGTGTGGTAATAAGTTACAGGACCTAAAAATAGCTTGACATCTCTCTCTTTCAACAGTTTGAATTATTTTATAGCCAGCATTTCAGTGGAAGGAAACTGACGTGGTTACATTATCTCTGTACAGGTAAAGAACATTTAATTACTACTCGTTTAATGATATTTACCTGATTGTGTTAATTTAGAACGACACTTTCTGTAGCCTAATTCTAGATTTTAATCCATTTTTCTCCATCTCTGTTTCTTGTATCCTTAAGGAAGTATACCATCCTTCAACTATGTTTATAATGCTGGTGATAATGTTCCTTTTAAGTAAGACATTTCTTGAGTTTTATGGCAGTACATTTTTGTAGCCAATCATTTTATAGATACTAGAGAATTTATTTAGAAAAGCAGACTAATGGGTTAGATATTCTTGAATAGCTGTTCTCTGGTTTCCGTAGCCCTGTGCATTGACTTTTATTTACAGTGCTGTCATGAAGTGTCAGAAGAGAAGCAGGTATTCTAAGACTGCCTTTTTTCTCCGTTCCCTGGAGATGTTCAGCCAGAACAAAGGCACATACTCTTTTTCTTAGGCTTTGGGAAGGCTATAAGTCATGTTTCCCTCAGTACAAGGAGCAAAGGGTGTGGTATTAGCTCATAGATGTGGTATGAGGAGAGACCCAGCACCCACAGACCAGTCCACAGCCAGCTATAACCCCACTTCCATGGGATGTGACTGTCTTCATATTTCCACAGGTACCTGGCACAAATATTGTGCAGATACACATGCAGGAAAAACACTCATAACATTAAACACATAAAATTAAAATACAGACAAGAAGGAAAATGGTACAAGGAAATATTTCTTGCTGCCATGACCATTATATTAGGAACCCCCCTTTTACCTCAAAGATTTCACCTCAGTATAAGTGTAATTTGTCTTTGTTTGACTGAGTTACATCTCAGAGTATGGCTCACATTAATAATACTGCACTGTTTAGGTATGCAGCTTTATTGACTAAAACAGGTATTCTGATTTTTTCCCTACTTGTGAAATACATCTAATTTTTATATTTCATACATATATATGAAATATAATATGATATGATATAATATGATATAAAAAATAAAATATGATAACATACTTTGTTCATATTTCTCTCTGTGCTCTATACCTTCCTACTGAACCTCTAATTCCCATTGTCTGAATGTGCATGTGTGTGACCCACTGCATTTAGTTAGGAATGCAGGGTAGGGCCTTATGAGAGCACCTAATCCACTGGAGATGTTGATGAGTCCAGGTGTGTACAAGTCTGTAACAGGTAGCTGCTCCGAATTCATGGGTACATGTCACATTCAGAAGAGAATGTGCAGAGCATTCTTTCCCATCCAACAATTCTTCCTTTCCCTTTTGCTACAGTGTCTTGGAACCTTGGAGGGGTACAGCGGTCCACTGAGGGCTGATCCCATATTCTCAAATTATTTTAATTGAGTAATTTATGTTTGAGTTATGCATGGGTATACACATGAATGTGCTCACCCTCTGGGTGCATGTGGAGATTGGGGTCAACGTTGGCTGACTTCCTCCCCCTTATTTTTTGAGACATTACCTCTCACCGGACCTGTAGCTCACCAGATCAACAAGTTTGCTTATCATTGAGATTACAGACATGTGCCCCTGGGCCTAGCTTTCTGTGGGTGCTAGAGATTCCAACTTTCTGTGGGTCCTAGTACTTGTGCAGCAAGCAAGTTATCCACTGGGGGTTTTACTGGGGTTTATTTTATTTTATTTTATTTTAACTTTGAAAAATTGCCTATATTGGACACTGACACATTCCAGCACTTGGGAGGCAGAATTAGTTCAACTCTGTGAGTTTGAGGCCATCTTGGTCTGAATCTGTGTTTGTGCTTTTGTAAAGTACACCAAGGCATGCCACGTCTGGCATGGGGACATGAGAGGATAGCAGTGTGGGTACTAGGGCTGAACTCAGGCCATCAGACCCAGAGAACACAAGCAGTTAGTGGTAGATTTTGGCTTTCTCTCTCTCTCTCTCTCTCTCTCTCTCACTCTCTCACTCTCTCTCTGTTTTGTCTGTCTCCCCTCCACCATTGGTTCTGCTTTCCTGTTGCTATTGTGCTTCAGCTTTGACAAAGTTGTAATAGGTCAGCTGTTACTATATACTCAATACTCCCACATGACAGCCCCATGTCCTGCAAAGAAGAACTTTGGAATGCCCTCATAATAGCTTTAAAATGTCTTTGGTTTCCTTTTTTAGGGAGAAACAATCCAAAATATCAACTATCATAGTTTTGACATGAAAACAGTTGGGATGATCAGATACTGTCAATTTTTGTTTTATTTGTAGGTGAAGTTAAAATGAACTATTTGGGAAAACCATATGTAGCTATGGTTACAACCTACCAAATGGCAGTTCTTCTTGCCTTTAACAACAGTGAAACTGTTAGCTATAAAGAACTTCAAGACAGCACTCAGATGAATGAAAAGGAGCTGACCAAAACAATCAAATCATTACTTGATGTGAAAATGATTAACCATGATTCAGAAAAGGTAACATTCCCAAGGGACTTCAAATTCTAGCAGATGGAGATTCTCTTATGTGCGGTATGGGCAGTTTTTTTTTGTTTTGTTTTGTTTCTCTGTGTAGCTTTGGAGGCTGGCCTGGAACTAGCTCTTGTTAGACCAGGCTGGTCTCGAACTCACATAGATCTGCCTGCCTCTGCCTCCCAAGTGCTGGGATTAAAGGTGTGCACCACCAACGCCCAGCTATCTTAGCAACTTTATCATGAGAAAAGTTCACTGGCTTTCCCACAAATGAACAAAATATTACTGGAAGCTCAACTGGATGCATCAGAACCTTAGAAGCACAGCTTCCTCTAGAGTTGGCTCACTTGTCAGCAGTGTGGTTACTGCAGCATTTTTAGACAGAAGATAGTATATGCAATGGCTGGGCCTAGAAATAGCTAGTTCCTAAATAGAAACTGATTAAAATTCTGGTAAATGTGAAATCAAAATTTTTTTGTTTTAAATATAGGAAGATATTGATGCAGAATCTTCATTTTCATTAAATATGAGCTTCAGCAGTAAGAGAACAAAATTTAAAATTACTACGTCAATGCAGAAGGATACACCACAAGTAAGTGCTTGTTTGGATGTCAATTCTTTTAGAAATACTTAAGCAATGGATTGAGTCCATTTTATACTGAGATCAAGCATACCTTTGCATTCTAAAATTAATAATACGATAAAGCCTTTTCTGGTTTATTCTTGCATTTGTTGGCCTTGCAATTAAGTGTCTGCTGGTAGTTTGATAAATAGGCAGTTTATTCAAGGGAGCTCTGGTTCAGTTATCTAATCATTAATTAGCACATGTCAGTTACAAATAGTGGTAGGTTTTGTTGTGAAATTTTAATCTGTGTGTACAGTGTGTTTCTCTCTCATCCCCTCTCTCACTCTGCTGATACCCTCGTCCCAATTGGCCTCTCTTTATTTTTAATGACACCATAGGTTTAATTAGGATTACTTAAAGGAACTTGGGCAACTTGCCGGTGTCTATATACACTACTGAGCAAATGCTTCTTTAATAGCAAACATTAACTGTATGAGGTGGGGATGGTGGGTGGGTAAGGGAGAGTGGATGGGTGGATGGATGGATGGATGGATGGATGGATGGATGGATGGATGGATGGATGAATATAATAAATATTGAGTCAGGACTTCAAGCATGCTGTGTGAATGCTCTGACACTAAGTTATATCCCCAGTCTAGTATTGTATCTTAAAACATATAGTTTGGGCTTGTGAGTGTAACTCAAAGGTAGAATGCCTGTCTGAAATGTGAGTCCCTAAAAGAAGGGAGGCCAGGAGGGCTAAGAAGGTTAGCTTTTCTCTACTTTCTCTTTAAAGATGCCTTTCTTGAATTGAAGTATTATAATTTTAAGTTTGAAACTCATTTTTGTAAAAGAAAAAACTGAGACAAATGCTTGCCAAACTTGTGCATGTATGCACAGCTTGCCCTCCATAATTTGGTGTGTTGAACCAGCAGGAGCGGGGTTGAGACTCTTGGACGAAACAGTGTGGTTGGCTTTTGAGTGTTTGAGTTCAGGGGTGATCATTGGGCTTCATTAAGACTTTCCTGGCTGCCTTTTGGGCTCTATGGGATGGGAAGTAGATAAGATATCAGCCCTCTGGAGGAACTTCTCCATGGGGGAGGCATACACATTAATTGCCATGAGTTTTGAACCCTAATGTGATCATGAGCAACAGTCTAAAGGATTTGTCCTTAAAAGGCTGCTGAGCAATCCCTAATCCTCTGGCATAGTCTGCCTCTGTGCCACAAACCCTTGTATTTCACTGGTGATCACCCTTTTCTGACCTATCTTCCTTGTCTCTTCTGCGTGAGCCAAGAGAACTCCACACCAGCCCTAGCTCTTAGAGCTAATCACTGCACTTGCTACAACTTCATCTGAAAGCATCTTGGCACAGATACCTTCTGATAAGACAATAGTCTTAAATTTTTGTTCTGTAACCTAAGTCCTGTTTACTGCTTATTTGTATTCCAGTATAGTTTAGAAATAGTGTAAATTTCAAAAGTAACCTTCTAGCTTTATCCTTACAAATTATGCAGAAGTCACTATAGGTGTTAAAAGATGTTTTGTGATGTTGGCTCAGCCCTACTGTATGTTTTGTTGCTTTTTCCTAGTTTGTGTGGGGCAGTGCATGTGCTTTCATGCATGTTTGATAACCAAAGATCAATCTCAGGTGTGGTTTCTTGGAGCCATTACCCCCACCTATCCTTCTCTTCTCCCTTCCTTCCATGGGCACTGGAGATAGAATTCAGCTCTTCCCTGCTCTGTAGCATATAACAAGCACTTTAGCAACTGACCTAACTCCCCAGCCCTCTTAGTGTATAATTTTTTTTAAGACTTTTTAAATTTTGTATGTCCCTGAAAGTTTCGCCTGCATGTAAGTATGTGTGCTTTATTCATGCCTGAGGCAAGAAGAATCCAGAAGTGAGGGACTTGTCCATCATGTGGACCATGGAAACCAAGCCTGGGTCTTCTGTGAAAGCAGCAAATGCTCTTAACTGCTGAGACATTTCTCTAGCCCCTGATGCTAATTAGTAACTGGAATTTAAAAAATTCACTAATGGAAATTTAAAACATTGAATGACAGTATCCTGTTTGGTCGTCTCCATTTCCCATAAAAACAGGAACTGGAACAGACAAGAAGTGCTGTAGATGAAGACCGGAAAATGTATCTCCAAGCTGCTATCGTCCGCATCATGAAAGCACGCAAAGTGCTTCGGCACAATGCCCTTATTCAAGAGGTAAAAGGGGAGATACCCTCAGGATTCTGTAGTGCACTTATTAAAGTTGGGACAACTAATACTGACCAAATGGCGCAATGAAATGTTGGTCTTAAAGAGTTCTCACAATTTCACTGGTAGAGCCAGCCTTGCTCTGTTTTGAATTTTAGAGATCCTAAACTTGCCAATTTGCCTGTCCATCTGGAAAAAGGAAACACTTCAAGTGTTTGAGTGTTCATTCATTCCCTTTACACAAATATCTGTGTGGGACTAAACACTCTAAGGCTACTCTGCAGTGCAGAGATCTCAGCTTGCATTGAAAGAAAAGTTTGTGGTATTAAGAATATGCATGAGAATAAAAGTAGTGTTAGCATGAAATAGATGTGGAGGCATATTGGGTGTGTAGGTGAAGACATTGGTAATTTTGCTTATGTATATGTTTTACTATTTTGCTTTGTCTTATATTCTGCACTTTAATTCCTAATGCAAGCATTAGGTTTTTCCTTTAGTTTGTATATAAGCTTACTTTTCTTATGTAAACACTGATAGCTCTGGTTAGTGGTCTCTCTGTGCACTGCCTTGTTCGGTGTTACAGCGAATGTTGCATAGTGATGTGTTACTTGCTACATCAGGTCTGTCTGTTACAGGACCTTTTTCAGTACAACATTTATGCACCCTTTTCCTTTAGGGAGGTCTGCTGAAATCTCCAAAAGTGATGTTCTTTTCCTTATAGCTAATGGGTTGGAAATGGATGCTTATGCTTAATAACTAGAGATAGTTTGACTCCCTGTCTCTCTCACAGGTAATAAGCCAGTCAAGAGCCAGGTTCAATCCCAGTATCAGCATGATTAAGAAGTGCATAGAAGTTCTGATAGACAAGCAGTACATTGAGCGCAGCCAAGCAACTGCAGATGAATACAGTTACGTCGCGTGACACCGTCTCTGATGTGGGTGTTGAGGTCATTGCCATCACCATTTGGTGTGCTCCTGTGGGAAAAAGCAGGCCTGTGCCTCCATACTTTGGTCATTTGGCAGCCCCTGTTTTTCTGCTGTTTACAACATCACCAGTGCCACGTCATGAGCGTCAAAGAAAATGCCTAGAGATATTTCAAGCTCATGTCATTATGACATTTCTTAAAACTTTATTAAAAGAATGAGTGAAGTATTGCTGAAATGTGGAATTTGGTTGGGTACCATGCTTTCTCCCCTTCACGTTTGCAGTTGATGTGTTTTTTTTTTTTTTTTAATGTATCTTAAAGGACATAAAATAAAAACTTAAATATTGTAATATGACAGATAACCTAATAATTGTATCTACATTAAAATGACAAACATGATGTTGCTGCTTGTCAAATAAAAAAAATAAAGAAACAGAATGCCTTTTTCTATGTGGATGGAATATCAGGTTGGACAGAAAATAAGACATTTATAAATGTCTGTGAGTCATCCAAGCAGCCAACAGCATTTCGTCTTGGTGATGAAGTTCACTTGGGCTACTGTTTAACCTTCAATTAAGACTTCCAGGTTATTGTTTTTTTATACATAAAATTGCACCTGGTGTAAAAAATTCTCTTGTGAATTTGAGCTAAATGGCATAAGCAAGTTTGCATATTGGGAATATAATTCTGTCAGTGGTTTTGCTGATGTGCTGTACTTAGAAACGGAGTGGTGACTACTGTGTAGTGACTTCCAGCCTAGCAGAGGAGGGACCACTCACCCTTGACCCTTCATGATGAATCAGTTCTGACATAATGGCTATTGAATTCCTTTTGGCTTTCCCTGCCCGCCACCAGCACCCTTCCCCATACGTGTCCCTCAACACTCTGGCACATTACACCAGGTACCTTGTATAGGTACATGAAATCTGTTTGTTTATTGTAGATAACAGGGGCATTAAAATACTCTGGTCTACCATATTATCCTTCTGCCATCCCTATATCACATTGCTTTTTAAACCAGAGTACTTAAAACATATATAATAGAAATACTTTCATGTTTATACTTATCTCTAACAGATAAGGCCTTAAACCCACAATGATAATATGCTGAACAAATAAACAGTACTTAATTTACATTCTCATGTGGTTCATATTTAAATTTATTTAATGATTGGTTGATTTGATTGCACCTTTTCTTGTATCTTAAAGAGTTCAAAAAAATGGACTTGTAATTACTTCTGCTGTCTTTATTTTGCCTTCCTACCTTGTTGAGGATAATGGCACAGTATATACTATTGTACATTCATGGTCAAGAAACAAGGCCCTTGTTTTGGTTACTTACTGATAAGCTTTCCAAATTTACAAATATTAAATTAAGTCGGAACCTGATACTAATTGTCAAGAAATGTTATATTGAAAGGTTAACAAAATACTGGTGATGAATTCAAGTTTTCACATTTTCTCCTTATTTACTGACAAACAGAAGGAATAGAAAAGTTCAGGTAAGTTCTATTGAGGCTCCAGTGAGTAAGCGAAAATGTATTCATTGAATTCTGTTCAGCACCTTTCCTTCCCTTGAGGAGCTCCAGCTTGGCCTTAGTGGCTCAGAGAGGTCACCTGTCAGGCTCACTGCCACACCAGTGCTTGGGAGCGGAGTGGATTAGCTACAGGAAGGTAAGAGGGAGAAAGGGGCTTTTTAATGTTTTACACCCCCCCCCCAAAAAAAGTAATGTAAGCAAATTCTCAAACATTTTAAGATGACTCAGCAGGTAAGCTGGATTCCCAAGACCCATCTCTCTCTCTCTCTCTCTCTCTCTCTCTCTCTCTCTCTCACACACACACACCCTCCCTCTCCCCCTCTCCCCCTTCCTCTCCCCCTCCCTCCCTCCTCTCTTTGTCTCTCTCTCTCTCTCACACACACACACTCATCAGTGCACCTCAAAGACTTTAAGTCATTAATAGTAATATGTCTTTTACAGCAGTTTACCAGTAGCTCATCAGTTATTCTATTCTTTCCTTTGGAAATAACATTTTGACCACTGTGGGTGTAGAGTTATTCTGTGGCTTAGTCCAATACTAAGATTTGTTTTGGTAAATTATCAGTGTTTTGTTTAACCCTTTTCATTTTCTAACTGATACATGCTACAATGCTTTTTTAACCTTTGAATACAAACTAGCAACTGTTCCCTTATATTATCTTGTTTAGCTTTCAGATAACCTTTGTAGGTGGACTGCCTAGAACTGGAAACTAAACAGATTTATTATAAGCTGAACCTCAATCAAATATCATTTAAAGCCATAGACCTACTTGCAGTTTCTATAGACTTGTCAATAAAATAAATTCATCTGGATGTGGTGGAGGAAGCCTACAATCCCTGCACTTGAGGCAGGGGCAAGCAGATCTCTAAGTCTGAGGCCAGTCTGGTCTACAATAGCAAGTTCCAAGTCAGCCACAAGTATATAGTTTCTGTCTCAAGAGGAAAAAAAATAAGCTCCATTTCATACATGTGGAATTTGTGGAAAAATTTCTGACTTTTCACATGTTTTCTAGTTTTATACTTAAGATGTTATATGTATCAGTGTTTCAGTAAAAGTTACTGTGAGTTTAATATTTTGCTAATGTAAAACGGTAAAGTTCATTTTATAATGTCCTTAATATCCTTAAGCTATCATCTTAAAAATTTGAAGTATTTAATAGCAAAGATAATTATTTGGCTCTTTTTTGTTCCAAGGAAAATTACTGGTTGAACAACATCAGGATGAAAATGAACTTGAAAATTACTAATGCTAAAAGCTTGTGAACTTAGGTTATGGCTAAGTCACAACTGACTGGAGAGTCAGAGACCTTGATGAGGTAGGCAGTAACTAAAAATGTTAGAGCCCAGCTACCCTGTTTGATAGGGAGGAATGCTGATTTTCATAAGCTGTGCTTGGATTCTCAATTTTCTCCTACCTAGGTCATTCCTTCCTTTGATCATCTGGCAGATTCTGCTTAGTGCCAGACTGGCTCAATACCATACTGGCTCAATACACAACAGTCATGGTCTCTGCTCATTTGGAGCTGTTTGTCTGGTAACAATTGTAAACCTCTAAATGTAGGTAAGTAATGATGGAGAGCCCCAGGTATCATGAGGAGGATTTCTGAAAGGAGGTTAGAAGGATGGAGATGGAAGGCAGGGGCATGTTCTATACAACTAACAGCAAAACCCGGTAAAAAACCACTAGAACTCAAGACCAACAGACCAGTGTGGCTGAATTCTGTACACTGTATATAAGTAGGGGAATGGGTTGGTTACATTTCAACTAAAAAACTTGATTATTTTTATAACTCAGTGGTATTAATAGTTTGGAGACAGGGCTTCATGATGTAGCTCCCGATGGCCTGGAACTTACTGTGTATACCAGGTTGGTCTAGATCTCACAGAGACTAGGTAGATTTTTTAAGGGGTGGAGCACAAGCATGCACTTTTCTGAGTTTCTGTACATTACATGCATGTAAGAGTATGAGAGTCACATGATGTTAAGTCACACAGACAGGCAATAAATTGGCTATTCAGGGATAAGATACTTGTTCCTGAACCTACAACATTTCAATCTGCAGCATCATTGAAATTCTAATTGGTCTTAACAGAATGTTCAGTATAAATTATGGCTGGCTTCCTTCCAGGAACTTAATGAATTACCTATAGAAGAGTGAATGGGGGGTGTGAAAGTAAATAGACCTGGACACTAAGGGTAAAGACAGACTATCTCCAGAGGGACAAAGTAGGTGACTTTCCCATAAATGAGTGTATTGGTTTGGGTGTTGAGTGACTGGGGAAGAGACAAGTCAAAATGATACATAGGATTGGGGTGATGGGTGTAATACTGAGCTCCAGCCAAAAAGAATTTTAGATTCATTACTTTATGCCAGTGTTTTGCCTGCGTGTATGCATATGTACCGTGTGTGGTTGGTGCCCACAGAAGTCAGAAGAGAATATCTGATCTCTGGAACTGGAGTTACAGGCAATTGTGAACCACCATGTTGGTGCTGGGAATCTAAGCTAGGTTCCCTGCAAAAGCAACAAGTGCTCTTAACTGCTGAGCTATCTCTCCAACCCCAAGACAATTCTTTTTGTCCTCTTTGGTTTTCAAAAGATTGAACTATGCACTGCTTAGCCCAGATAGGGTACCAGCAACAGACCCAAGTAAGGATACCTCCAAAATCCAACTTGGTGAACCAGTGAGTTTTATTGGAGTAACTTGTAGAAGCGGAAATGACAGCTCCATCCCTCTAGCCTACCCCCGGATGCCTTACAAAAGCTGGAGACCTGCCTATGAATCTAGTCGTTTAGGGACTCAGTAAAGCTACTGAGTTGTTTATTTCTTGAACTTAGCACACTTCCCTGAACGGTGGAATGTTTTACCTTCCCCTTAGAGCAGTGGTTCTCAACCTTCCTAATGCTACAAACCTTTAATACAATTCATGTTGTGGTGATTCCCCCCCCCAAAAACAAATTTATTTCCTTGCTATTGCATAACTGTAACTTTGCTACTGTTATGAATTGTAATGTACATATCTAATATGAAGGATATGCCACCCTCCAAAGAGGTCACCACCCATAGATGGAGAACCAATGCTTTAGAGCGTCCAGTGTCTAAAATGAGTTTTTATAGGATGGGATGTTTCATCTCTTGATAGATCATCCTGCCTGAAACAGCTTTCCTGAAGGTTATTGTTCCTTTTAGGAAATTGCTATATAACTTCCACTGGGAGTAGGGGTGGGCACAGGACACCTGCTCAGCTAGCTAGTCAATATGCTAAGCCATCCAGAACACCTTCTGATTCTAAGAAAGAATGCTTAGCTAGGCATCTTAATATCCCCTGGTCCACTCAAGGTGACATGCAAAAATAAACATTACATCTAGGTTTAATAATTTAATAATAATTTAATAATTGTTCTTATGATAAGTGTGTCAACCCAGAATTCATGTCCCTTCAGAACCTTTGGCTGTGACCTCATTTGGAAACAGGTTTTATGGATGTGATTGAGATTATACTAGATTATACTAGATTAGATACTTATCTTCATAAGTATCTTCATAAGAAAGGGGGGACTTGGACACACACCGAAGAGCATCTGAAGACATTCTGAAGTGACGATGGTACAAGCTAAGTAACTCTAGGGATTTCCAACAACTACTAGAAGCTAAAAAGAAGATAGGTCTTTGGAACCTTCAGCAATAGCACGGTCCACCTCACAACTTGAGTCTGACTTCTGCACTCCAGAATGGTGAGACAATTCATTGTTTTGTTTGAGACAAAGTTTCACCGTATAGCCCTGGCTGGCTTGGCACTCACTATGTAGACCAGGCTGGTCTCAAACTCAGATCCAACTGCATCATGGCTCCTGAGTTCTGGTACTAATGTGTATGCCACCATGCTAGGTTAATTTCTGTGTTTTTA